TTTTAACTGCTAATCCAGATGTTTTTAACTGCTAATCCAGATGTTTTTAACTGCTAATCCAGATGTTTTTAACTGCTAATCCAGATGTTTTAACTGCTAATCCAGATGTTTTTAACTGCTAATCCAGATGTTTTAACTGCTAATCCAGATGTTTTTAACTGCTAATTTATTTGAAATTTTAATTTTATGAACAAGTTTAAAGAGTTGTTTAGAAGTTTAAAAAGTAACATTTTTAAAAGTACATTTGTAAATTCCAAATTGTTATGTAATAAAAAATAAATTCTTGCAACATGGATCTTTAATCTTCAGTTAATTATGACCTACCCTGTGACCTCAAAAGTATTAAAAATCATACGATAATAAGCTTTCACGACTCCTTCCTCTTTTATAAAAAATTCAACTTTTATAGTTTAAAGGTTCAACTTTAATCTAGATTTTGTTTTTCTCATTCTAAATTTGAAAAAAAATTTTTACAAAGCAAATTTAATTTTAATCTATGTGAAGGGAGAGCCATGCACATAATTAAAGAGGCGTTTAATCAAAGTTGAACTGCATCCCTGAGCCCGAAACTAAAGACAGAGAGTATTGTAATGAAACCCAGTGTCGGAAACCCGGTTTAATGAATGGGTTCAGATATTTTTTTTGTTAAAAAATATTTTTTTTTATGTGTTTCTCTACATTTTTTTTTTCTTTTTGATTCTTTATATTAAAATCTACGCAAATGTATATATAAACCCAAAAAAATGTTTCGTCCAACGATACTCTTTTAAATTTCTTGCTCTGGATTCCCTGCAGCACAATAATCCTCAATTTTTGTCTGTAAAAACTAGAGATTACACTGATAGGACAAGAATTATGTATCTTTATTCGTTCACTAGCTTGGAAACCCAGCTTTGCCCAGTGTAGTCATAGGTAGTCCAGCCATTTATCCGCGCTTTGTCGAAAATTATGATTCTAGCTTTTTTCTCTAATAAAAGTGGACCGGACCCACTCAACTTAGAATCTTAGTACCAAGCTAAGAACATTTCAAACACCTCTGCCCCTTTAGCAAAAAGTAAATTCAACCTATAGTAAGCATAAAGTCTGACCGCGTCAACCTTGTTGCACCGGCTAGTCTTGTCCATTGAGCTAGGTAAGTATACAAACTGGGACCGGGAAGGTCGACCCGGCTCGGAAATTCAAATGTACTACGTCCGCCCGTGATTTCCTTGCTTCTCACAAGTTCCCAATCAAAATTTAAGGCCAATCGGAAAGGGGGTTCATGAGTTATATTCAGAACAAACACCACAACAGAGATCAAATCAAAAAAATAAATTCTCATGTCCTATCTTTGTTCTCAATGGACCAGAGCACTCAAACTATTCCAACTCTACAATCAGACAAACTATTAATTAATTACATTTACAAATCCTTAATGGAGGTGAATATCAGATATTTTAGAAGAGTTGAAAATCAATAAATGATAGAGAAGTATCTTAGCTCTACCTGATTGCTGAACCAGTTTGGAAGAAGCAGTTCAACTAGCTGTACCTAGTTTAACTATTTCTTGCTTTCTATTAATTTGGATCGAGTTGCACACATCAACTGTTATGAAACTTATCTTTAAGAAACGAAATAAATATTGAGTCTTTGTCTCAAAATCATTCATATATCTTTGGAACCTAATTGTGAAACTTTTGACATTTCTATTATTATTTGATCTAACATAATTCATAATTTTGAAATATTCAAGGTTGGGTTGCAAAGATATAGAGATTTGAAAATCAGAGAATGTGGCAAAGACTCAATTCCTGTCTAGATGTCTATGGCATTTTTTTACATCTACATTCCACAAACTTTTTCAGGATAAGATTATATAATTCTTTATTTGTATATATAATGTATATATATGATATATATAGTGCTAAACTAAACAATAAAATGAGCAGTTTACTTCTAAAACCAATCTTTAAGAATAAATAAATAAAAGTAAAAATAATTGACCAGCAAAATAAAGCTAAATAAATGATAATACTGTTTCATGATATTATGCTAAAACGGAAAAATATAAAAAGTCAAACATAAATTTCGCTCAATTCTGCCGAACCTTCATCATATATCCCAGAAAATTGAAGTTCTTTTATCGGTTTGGAAGTTTGAGAATCGGTGTCCGGTGTTGGAGAATTTAAAATTGATACTGGAGAGGCTATTTCCATCTCATCCTTCCTGTTCAGTTCTGGTTCTGAATGTGTACTCCGATCTGTTCCATTTCTTGGTTCTGCATCAGCAGATTTCCTGGTTTGCGGCTCTCTCCCCATTTTCATCCATAATCCCTCCTGCTCAGATAGTTTTCTTTGTTTCGCCTCCAAGTCATTTCTTTCCTTGAACCCCCCTAGACCTGGATCCGGTTTCATCTCCATAAACCTTCCTAGAACTGGATCCGGTGTCACATCTTCATCCCTCGTCTTGTTATCTAGATCTTGATTTATTGTCTCCTGATTAGAGGCTTTCTGGTTAAACTGGTTGAAGCTGGTTTCTTTTGCTTCTAGTGTCGGATAGTTGGAGTTAGAGATCCTAGTGAGGATTTGATGAACTAGATCAAGCTGTTCTACGCCTCCTCCTCCTCTTCCTCCTACACCGTCCTCTCGGTTAGCCTCATCCTCCAGAAATGTTTTATTCTGCCGACCTCGTAAACTGAAACAAAATTTATAACGAATCTAGCTGAATAAAAAAAATTCAATTTTTGAAGAAAAAAAAACGATTTTTGAAACTTGAGAATGTCATCCAATTCGGTCCAGCCGACTTTCGCAACTTTTTCACTAAATTTTGCATTTATTTTTAAAAATTCTGTATTTTTCGCGAAATTTTCGCATTTTTGCATAATTTCCACTTTTTTCGTGAAATTTTTGCATTTTTCGCGAGCGAACGAAATGCAAAAATGAAGCGAGCGAAATGGTTGCGAATTTTTTTTTTTTGGCAAAAAATGCGAAACGATTTTTCCTTTTCGCTGGAAACCCTAAGGAAGCGGTTTGTGTAACTGACATGCTTTTTGAAACTCATAGGCAGCTATAGCTTCAAAAAGCATGTCATAGTACTATAGTAAACCTCGAACAAAGATGCTGGAACCCCTCCGTCAAGGATTTTCTCATTTATATATATGAGCAAAAAGGTGACTGATGAATGATGACAGTTTAAGGAACAGAATAAGATTTTTAACAGAATTAATTAACTTATAAAGTTATGATAGATCGAAATATGAATTAGGAAAAAGAAACATAGATCTAAAACTAGATTGAGTGGAAAAGAGCTCAGTTTTTTTCCGCAACCTCAATTTTCTTTTTCCCATATCATTGCAACCTGATGGTGTAAAACCTTGATATTTTAAATTCAGATTATTCTATAACACATAATTCATAGTTTGAAATACAAAAAGTCGTTGGGTTGCAAAGATATATGGATTGTAAAATCAAAAATAAATCAGTTCTATTATTTTAAAATGAATTTTATTAAAGTCTGTAAAAACCTGATTGTGTAGAATGATTTGACTTTGTTATGTATTGTTGGAAACATCGATACTCGGGGATGAAGGTGCCTGAAAATATTTTTAAAAGTATTAAAAGAATAAATTTCTTCCATTCACGGATTTTATAATTATTTATTTACTTTAAAGGGAGTAAATGATATTTTTCGTTTTTTCAGGATTCCCAATTCCCAAAATGCCTACACAATGTTTTGTAGGCAATATTTGTCGAGAGAACCCATAATTAAAGAGGGTGTATAAGCGTGATTAAAGAGGGTGTATAAGCGTGATTAAAGAGGGTGTATATGTGTGATTAAAGGAGGTGTATAAGCGTGATTAAAGAGGGTGTATAAGTGTGATTAAAGAGGGTGTATAAGCGTGATTAAAGAGGGTGTATAAGTGTGAATAAAGGAGGTGTATAAGCGTGATTAAAGAGGGTGTATAAGTGTGATTAAAGGAAGTGTATAAGCGTGATTAAAGAGGGTGTATAAGTGTGATTAAAGGAGGTGTATAAGCGTGATTAAAGGAGGTGTATAAGCGTGATTAAAGAGGGTGTATAAGTGTGATTAAAGGAGGTGTATAAGTGTGATTGAAGGGGAAGTATAAGCGTGATTAAAGGGGGTGTATAAGCGTGATTAAAAGGATTAAAAGGGATGTTTAAGCGTGATTAAAGGGATGTATACAGTATAAGCGTGATTAAAGGAGGTGTATAAGCGTGATTAAAGGGGGTGTATAAGCATGATTAAAAGGATTAAAAGGGATGTATAAGCGTGATTAAAGGGGGTTTATAAGCGTGATTTTAAGTATACATCCATGCAATGATGACATAGCCTTCAAAGCTTTGTCTGATCAAGTATGAATTTTTTTCCTTTTAACTTTTTATTTTCGTTTGCGATTTTTCTGCGAAAGTGACTTGCGCATTTCTTGTTTATAAAAGCAATGGAGAAAATTCAATTTTCGAATAAAAAAACGACGGTATCTTCCACATTTTGACCAGATCTGGTTTTTAGGGTGGATTAGTTGTAAATTGGGCATTGCAAGACCTTTGCATAGAGGGTCACTAGAAATTACGCTTTATGTAAGTATTTCTACTTCCAGAAAACTACATTTATGCACAATTGTATCACTCTCACAGATGATGAAAATTTGCGCATATTTTCTCGAAAACATTGTAAACGGGATGTCTTTTACTTTATTGTCTTAAGGGATACTTCAGAAAGCAAAATATCCCTCAATAAGAAGAATCATGTTGGTCGAAACATTGTAAACTAAACAAAACGTAACTGTCAAATCTATGGGACATTACTTGTGCGACCGTGTGACCTTATAACTCCTCTAGATTGGATTTTAAATATTATATGAGAAAAGCAAATTTGTCCAATTACTTGTGCGACCGTGTGACCTTATAACTCCTCTAGATTGGATTTTAAATATTATATGAGAAAAGCAAATTTGTCCAATTACACATTAGAAATTTAAAACATCTTTGTTCTTTACAGTAGCTTTGATTGAAAATTTAAAGATTTACTAAAGTTTGACGTAGAAATGTAATAAAATTCAAAACAACTGAAATACATTTTCGGCAAAACATCTTTTTTATTTGGATTAAGATTAATACCAAAATAAATGAATAAAATCTGTTACTGTTGCATAATAAAGTTGACTGTATTGGATTAGTGTCATAAAAGTTCTAAATTAAAAGTAAAAAATTATAAATATAACCTTTTTCTATCAAAGTTTGGTTTAATCTTTAACAAACAAAATATTGATATTTTAGGTTAAACTTGTAAAAAACCTGGTAAATATTTTTTCTGGACTTTAGAAATCCTTCTTATTTTGTTCTTTAAAAATAGTTTATTATTTTAATGTTGTTTTTAAAAATTTTCAAATAAAGACAAAAAGTTTAAATATTTTTGCAAATAATTTTCCAATACCTGTAATAGAGAAGGATAAGAACTGATGCCAGAATAACAACCAATGTTATGAGAATGTATAGACTAAAAACAACAATATTTTCAAAATCTAGATTTAAACTTATTTATATGAAAATGAAGACTTTTGAATAGATCAGTTGAGTTTAAAGATTTTAAAACTTTCAGAGTTAGATAAAGTACTATAGTTCATATATTTAATAAAAAATTCTCGTTGTAAACTTGTAAGAGGAAATTATACCCAATTAGGGTTTCCAGGGAAAAGGAAAAATTGTTTCGCGACCATTTCACTTCGTTTGAGCCTTTCGTTCGCTCGCGAAAAATGCGAGAATTTCGCGAAAAAAAATAATGAGAAAATTTCGTTAAAGAAATAATGCGAAAATTTCGCGAAAAAATAATGCGAAAATTTCGTAAAAAAAAATGAAATAGAAATTATGAAGAAAAAATAACGAAAATTTCTCTTGAAACCAAATACCCAAAAGCCCAATTTCATCAAATTCATTCACCATTTTAAAACTTTCAACCTGTTTCAAGGACTATAAGCATAATGTAACTTTTTAAAAGCCCACCATAACTATTATTCAAAACAAATTCAATCTAAAACTCAAAGAAGCTCGTAGTAAGAATTTTCACTGCAGAGGGGTTTGAAAATTTCTATTTACAATTTAAAAACTTTTGCAGGATGATTTACATTCCACTGGAGGTATTCAGATATCCATCTGGATATCAGAAATCCAAAAAAAAATAATTTCCTTTTTGTGGTCTTCAGTCAAAGTTTAACTACGAACTCTGGTGAGAGAGTGTGATTTTTGCGTATTGCTGTTCCTGATATAAACTCCGTATACTCCAGGTAGAAACAAAAGGAACTCCAGTTCCTTCTCTTTGATGAAATGTTCCAGAAATTGCCTAGAAATAAAAGTTTTTATAAAAGCTATAATCTGAAACTTGCATGGATGGATTTCGTCTGAATTTTTACAGTAAATAGAAAAGCTGGAATGTCTAGTTATGCTGTATTCAATGTTATAATTAATCATGAAGAATAAAACACCTACCAAAATTCCATGAATCATTATTATCTCATCAAATAATAGAAATAATTATAAAATTTGATTTAATTTTATAAAAAAAACATAAAATTTCATGGAACATTTTTAATAATAAAATTTTTTTTTAATTATTACAAAGGACAGACAGAAGTTGATTTATCTCCTTCGATGCTCCAATTTTTTATCTTTATAACTTTGAACCTGATGTCGTCGAGTTTTCATATTTCGCACGGTGAACTAGATTCAATACTTTCAGTTGAAAATGTAAACACAATCAGATTGCAAAGATGTGGGAATTAAAAAATTAGAGTTTATGACGAGTTATCCTTTTATTGCATTTTTACTTTTTGTACTGAAGTATTTAAAGTGTTTCATAATAACTTAATGATTAGTTTGTATGACATCTTACACAGGACTAATTTCTTTAATCCGGTATAAATCCTAGGGATTTCTGGATTCACAATTTACTCCCATGGTAGGGTAAATGTAAATATTTCACCTTAAATCCCAGTTCTTCTTAAAAATACCCTAATAATCTTACTCTGGATATCTTTCAGGTTTACTAATGAAGAGAGTTTTATCATCGTTTAGACTTTTATTGATAAGGTAAATCTGTACAAAGTTAATCTTGATTTAATCAGGTCTTGATTATATTCTGGGGAACCCAAGTTCAGCTAGGGAAAGTACACAGGTTCTCTGCCTGGCTATGATGGTTATGAACATATCTAGCTCAGCTTGTGGTCTTGTTGGACCAGGATGTGGTCTGAAGACATCACGAGGAAAGAGGAGATCCAGATTGTTATAAGCTCTGATCTCACCCTTAATAACAGCAGTTCTCTGTCTTGTATTTAGGTAATTCTGACTCTACAACAGGTCTGTAAAGAGCTGTCTATAAAGAGCAGCGTGTCCTGCATCAGGATCATCTAGTTCTTCTGCTGACTATACAGCAGGTATGTGAATAGCTGTCTATAAAGAGCAGTGTCTTCTGCATCAGGATCATCTTCTGCTCTTGGAGTCATAGGTCTGACTGGATAATCTAGCTGCTCCAGATCACCAGCAAGCTCGGATCCTTCTGGAGTAGATATAGCAGCATCTGATATGCTCTGGTCTGTAGTCGGAGGATGCATATTAAGGTATAATATTGGGGGAGGCATGGTTCTCTGGCAGGCATATTGAAGATTCAACTATCTGATAGCGATATAAAGGTGCATGTCCTTGAGCCTTTGTTGTACAAACGGAGTAAACTCTACGTCTATATGTTCAAAAGTTCGAGCTGATTTCTTGATATCTTAATAAATATCTGAGAGGGGGGGGGGAGTGGGAGGGGTTTGCGCAGTTGAAGTCAAAATAAACTCAGCTTATGAAGCTTGATAATATAAATTATGAAATTATGAATTTATCAAATCTTTATCTTGCAGAACTTATGATAAGCTGTTAAATATCAACTACTTCATTTTCAATATTAAAATGTAGTCTTATTCCTTTTTTTGTCAGAATAAAATAAAAAATCCAAACCTGTAACTATCAAAGTCGTATAGGTGGTACATCAGAGCTGAAAATGTTGTCACAGAAAAACATTCAAAAGTATACAAACCTACAAAAAAAATAAAATAAAAATTAAATTTAAAAAAAATTTAAATAAAATAAAATTATTTATTAAATAAAAATTAATTCAATTTTGAAAGTAAGCTCATGTTAAATGCTAGTTTCAATAGATCTATAGATTTGATAAAAATAGTTTCTAAAATATTAGAACTTGATAAAATATGATCTGATAATGATTTAACCAATATGAGTATCATTTATAACGTTTTTCAAACATAATTTACCTAAACATTTTTAGCTTTTCTTCAGTTTAAATAAACATTTTAGACGTTTAAATATTTATGTATTTTCTAAAACAAAATGTTTCATGAGCGATACAGATAATTATATTTAAAGAACAATAGCTGAAGGGCCCGCGGCGTTGTCAGCTGAATTTTAAAAACACTGAAAAAAAGGTTTCGAATTTGAAAAAAGGTTTCGAATATTTTTGAAAAATATATGAGCAAAGACCGAAGAGCTTTATTTAAAAAATGGTTTTAAAATAAATGAAAAGCAGTCAAGTTTTGTTCATGTCTTACCTAGACTTCATTTCATGCCTTACATAGAGTCAGCATCATTTCCTGCCTTACCTAGAGCCAGCCTAATTTCCTGTCTTATAAAGAGCCAGCATCATTTCCTGTCTAAACTAGAGCCAGCGTCATTTCCTGTCTTACCCAAAGCCAGCAGCTGGATAATTTCCTGTCTTAAATAGAGCCAGCATAATTTCAAGCCTTAATTATATAAGGCTAGCATAATGTTATGCCTTACCTAGAGCCAGCATCGTTTCATGCCTTATACAAAACCAAAATAATTCATTTCTTACCTAGAGCCAGCATAATTTCGTGTCTTATATAGAACCAGTATCATTTCATGATTTCATGTCTTATATAGAGCAAGCATTATTTAATGTCTTTTATAGAGCCAGCATCATTTTATGTCTTAGAGCCAGAATCATTTCGTGCCATACCTAGAGCCAGCATTATTTCTTGCCATATACCTTTAGCCAGAATAATTCATGCCTTACCTAGAGCCAGCATCATTTCATGCCTAGACCTCTTCTTTTCGAGAACTGTGTTACTTCTAAAATAAATCAAAAATTGATATCAAATAAAAACTTAAATTTTTTTTTACAAAGAATGATATTATCTTACTACTATTATTATGTATTAGTGAAAAAAATTCCAACCTTTGAAGGGGTTTCTTGTCTTTCTGTCGAAGACTCTGTACAAAAACAAAGTTAATAAATTTTTCTGCTTGAACCATTCTTGTCTTTTACAATATGAAAAAGTATTGCAATTACAAATTTAGTGAAAAATAAAAATTTCGAATGTATTTCATGTACTTAAAGATTTAAAGAAATAACTGTATCTAAAAGAGATACTAAATAACGTAATAAAAAAGTAAAGAAACAATTTAAAAAACTGTTTTTAATGTAAAAGTCCTGAAACTTTTGATTCCGCTATTTGAGACTAAACTGATATAATTTGTAAACTTGTTCCTCAATGATAGAATTGAATGAGTGGAGGCTAACGAGGGATTCATCTTGAATTCCTGTATTCCCATATCCACAGGAAGACTCAAGTTCATCTAACAAATAATAAAAATATCAATCAATTTTGAAAAAAAAGTTGTCAGTGAATAATCAAGGGCGTTCTTTAAATTGCATTGACTTTAACATTTCTTTTACGCTTTTTATTGTATGTAAAAAGTTTGTTCATGATCTGTATATCAAATGCTTAATTCATATATCCAACCACTTCGTTTTACCTTTTATGAAAAACAGCATGTTTTTATAGGTTGAGCAAAATGACTCCGATTGAAAGAAAAATTCTAAAACTATATTTGCGACAAAATGGGTCCAGACCGAGGTCTAACTTTGGTGTTAATCCTAGGATCAAACTGTGTGCAAGGTTAAATTAATTCCTCAAAAAAATCCCGTGGCGATCTTGTACTGCAAGTTTAACTTCAATCAAGGGATTAGCTCTCAAAGGAATTGAATCTTTGTCACAAAATAAATGTTTCTAATCCCTTTATCCTTGCAACCTTATGGTGTAAACATTTGATAATTTAAACTCAGATTGAATGATCTATCTAAATTCATAGTTTAAAATATCTAAAGTATACGAATACGACATTGGGTTGCAAATATATTGGGATTCGATAATAAGAGTTTGTGGCAAAAACTCAATGCCTTTAAAGTGAAATAAGATTTGTAGATCAGCGCTGTTTAATGAAAAGGTTTTACCTCTGACCCCTGGAATAATATTATTTTCTAAAAGTTACCAATATCAATATCATAAAGTTGTTGATAAGGATCATCTGATACAGCCAGGGGGAGAAGGCAACAGACAAGACAATGAATAATCCTGTCATGCCAAGGTGCGGCTCGGAAATGAGGAGAAACCTAGAAAAATAATAAAATAATATAAGTTTTGACTAAAAAACTGTTTATCACAAAATATAGTACACTCTTCTTATGTTTAATTTTCGCTAACAATTGGTAAAAAACTAAAGAAACTAGTTTTTTTTAATAGTAATTAACTATCTTAATAACTAACCAATTATATAGTTAACTAACTAATTGATAAACTAAGTCACTAGATAATTAATGAACTAATAAAACTTAACGTCTATTGAACTACATATCACACTATCTTTTTAACTAACTATCTATCCAACTATTCAAGCAACTAACTATCTAACTAACTATCCAACTAACTATCTAACTAACTATTTAACTAACTATCTAATTATAACTATTAATTACTACTTAACCGGGAGATTAAGGGAGGATAATTAAATTGAGGGGAAAACCACTTAGCCGAGGGCCTCCAAGACCTTTTTGGGGTTCTAAACCTCACGAGCGTAGCGTTTTTCACAAAAATGTTGCGAAGTTTTCACAAAAATATTGAGAAATTTAGAAACCCAATTACTATTTTTAGAAATCATTAAATTTGCTTTTTAAATATTCTTCCATATGCATTAGTAAGAAATAAGAGAATTAAAATCATAATTGATAGTTTTTTGATTTCATTATTATTTTATCCCCCACGGTTGGTTATTTCGTTGAACAGGAGATTAAATTTCTAGCCATTTATTTAACTAACTATTTAACTAACTAATATCCAAATATATATCTAACCAACCATCTAATTAACTATCTAACTAACTATCTAACTAACTATTTAACTAACTATCTAATTAAATTTCTAGCCATTTATTTAACTAACTATTTAACTAACTATCCAAATATATATCTAACCAACCATCTAATTAACTATCTAACTATCTATCTAACTAACAATCTAACGAACTATGTAACTAACTATCTACTTAACCATCTAACCGACTGTCTAACTAACTATCTAACCAACTATATATCGAACTAAATAACTAACTATTTATCTAACTAACTATTATACTAACTATCTGACTAACTATCTATATTACTATCTATTTATCTAACTAACTATCTATCTAACAAACTATCTAACAAAATAGCTAACAAACTATCTAACTTAATATCTATCTAACCAACTATCTAACAAACTTTCTAACTAACTATCTAACTAACTTTTTATCTAATCATATAGTTATCTAACTATCTATATAGCTAACAAACTATTTACCAAACTAACTAACTTGATATATATCTATTTATCTTCTTATCTAGTATTTTTTAATGAGCTAATCCAACAGTTCTAACTATATATTTAACTATCTATCTAACAATTTATCTAACTATATATCTATATCTATTCATCTAACTATCTATCTAACAGTTCTAACTATCTATTCAACTATATATATAACTATCTAGCTAACTTTCTATCTAACTATCTATCTAACAATTTATCTAACTATATATCTATACGTACCTATCTATCTAACTATCTATCTAACTACCTATCCAACTATATATCTAACTATCTATCTAACTATCTATCCAACAGTTCTAACTATCTTTTCAACTATATATTTAACTATCTAGCTAATTATCTATCTTGCTATCTATCTGACTATCTATCTAACTATCTTTCTAACTATCTATCTAACTATTTATCTAACCATCTATCTAACAGTTCTAACTATCTATTTAACTATCTTTATAACTATCTATCTAACTATATATGTACAGCTATCTATCTAACTATCTATCTAAAAGGCTATTTTTCTGACTTTTATCTATATAACTAACTATATAGCTAATCAATTATTTAAATAATTTACTAATTAACCGTGTATTAATTTATCTATCTAAATTTGTATCTTATTTTTTTCCTACTATTTGTATCCATCTAACTGAGTATCTATCTCACAAGCTATATTTCTGAATTTTATTTAACTTTCTATTTATCTAACTATATATTTATCTAACCATATATTTATCTAAATATCTATTTATCTAACTATCAATTTATCTAACTATATATTTATCTAACTAACGATATAGCTAATTAATCATTTAAATAACGAACTAACTAACTAACTATCTATGTATCTCACTTTCAATATTTGTATCTTACTTTTTTCCTACTATTTGTATCCATCTAACTGATCTCACAAGCTATCTTTTTTACTTTTTTCAATCTAACTATCTATTTATCTAACTATCTAGTTTCTATCTATCTAACTAGCTTACTAACCTTAGTGAAAGAGAGAACACTGGCTGTAACTAGAAACTGGAGAAGAACCGGAACAAAGAACAAACCGGGGAAATTTATAAAACTAAACACAATTAGAATTTCAATTTGATAGTAGTTTAACATATATATATAAATATGCTAATTTTGCATTAATTTTCTTGTTTTCTAACAACACATCGAATTATTAACAGCACAGCTTAAAGGGACTGTATATATAAGATTCAACATTCATTGATTGCAAAGATATAAGAATTAAAAAATATAACTCTTTTAGCTTTTAAGAACACTTTAAATTGAGTTTAGAAGTAAACAAAGAGAAGTCGTTAATAGAAACTGCTCTTTGTTTCCATGTTTATTTACATCCATACTATTTGAAAGCTTGGTAGAAATCTAAATTGAGCTCAAAAGTTGTCTTTATTGTATTACAATATACAACGATGACTGTATATACTGTAAACTGTGTATACATGTGTACTGTGTATACAGTGTACTGTGTATACACTGTACTGTGTATACAGTGTACTGTGTATGAAGTGTACTGTGTATACCGTGTACTGTGTATGCAGTGTACTGTGTATTAAGTGTAGTGTGTATACAGTGTACTGTGTATGTAGTGTACTGTGTATACAGTGTAGTGTGTATTCAGTGTAGTGTGTATACAGTGTACTGTGTAAACAGTGTACTGTGTATAGAGTGTACTGTGTACACAGTGTACTGTGTATACAGTGTACTGTGTATACAGTGTACTGTGTATACAGTGTACTATGTATACAGTGTACTGTGTATACAGTGTAGTGTGTATTCAGTGTTGTGTGTATACAGTGTCAGTGTAGTGTTTGTACAGTGTATTGTGTAAACAGTGTACTGTGTATACAGTTTACTGTGTATACAGTGTACTGTGTATACAGTGTATAGATTAAATGAAAGAAGTTAAAACATTGAGGCTTAACAACTTGCGACATTAGCTTGTAAACAAGAAAATATTGTTAAAATGTTACAAAATGTTTTGAAAATAAAAATCTTGTTTACACAAATGTTGACTTAAGTTTACTAGAAGGAGCATAAATAAAACAGAACGTATAGGGTAGGGGGGGGGGGTCATGTAAAATTTGCTTTTACATTGTACAAATTAAAAAAATATCGATATCATCATGATTGTTGGAAACTACAATGAAAAAATTAATAAAAAACAATCTGTGTACAAAAAAAATCTAGACAACATTAAAATGAAAGAAGAAGAAAGAAAATTATAATGTTTTCTGGTTATCACTGTATTTATGTTTCAATCCTTTTTGTAAAATGATATCAGTGTTAAACTTTTCATTAATTTACTTTACTTGTCTGTCCGTTTGTATAAAAAAAAACGTAACTGCTAAACAAATCGGGCCCAAATTTTGTGTGGGACCTCGCAATACCCCAGGGAAGGTTTATCGCAAGACCCCAGGGAAGGATGATCAATTTTTTTCAAAATTCGCCTCTAACAAAATTTTATTTTTGAAAATTTAAAAAATCCACGAAATTTTTTCATAAAAGCCGTGAACTTTTTTGTTTGTTTTTGTTTTACAATGTAAACAAAGAGAAAATGTTCTCAATTGAAATAGAAGATCGGACAGCCTTGTTTAATTAAAAAAGACGAGATCTAATCAAAATAATAAATAAAACCAATATTCCCAAAATAGTTTTATTAAATATTTAACAATCATTTTCAGACATGTTTGTTCTTAATATTAGAGTTTATATTGTAAATTTGAAACAAAAAATACAATTTTATCATCAAAAGGATTTATAAATCTCTCACAAAAGAAAACAATTTTATAGAATTTTAAGATATATATTTGTATTCTCTCTGAATGTAATTAGTATACTGTAGAAGAATATCTTAATAATTTTCATATTATATGAATTAACATACTTTTGGAAAAGGAATTGAATTTTTGCCACAAACTAGCTCTGATTGTCTAATCCCAATATCTTTGCAACCTGTAATGTAATGTAAACCTTAGATATTCCTAAATTTTATTTGACAAAATTCATAGTTTGAATTATCAAAGTTTGAACCATCAGGATGTTTAGACTGAGTTCAGGCATTGTAAATCTATATAATAAAGCTCTTTGCTCATATACATATATTTGTATAGTTGTGTGTATGTATCTACGTATGTTAGATATAGCTAGAAAAACGGCTCCACCGAATTTTTTTTTAAATTCGAATTTTTTTTTCTTTAAAAATGAATCGAGTCTTTGACACAAACTCAAACTTTATGATTCCTATATCTTTAGAACCTGATATTGTCCTTTAATATTTCAAACTTAGCTAAGTGGATCCAATATAATTCATAGTTTGAAATATCTAAGGTTTAAACATTGGGTTGCAAAGATATAAGGATAATAAAAGCAGAGTTTGTGGCAAAGACTCAAATCCTTTACATTGTATTATGTATCTCCACTAACCTGATGACGTACACTAGAAGTTTTGTACTGATTAGTAGCATCCAGGTTATTAACTGGAGGAAGGTGGAACCAGATATCACAGGTCTACAACAGCAAATTTAGTTTTATCAAAGGAAAGAACTTTTGCGTATTTTATCCCAAAATCAAGCATTTAACTGTATTATTTCTTCCTCTGGGACAGACTTCTGCTGTAAAAACCAAGCAAAAAAAACAACTAAAATTTGAGGGACCAAGCAATTATGCCTGATATTAAAAAGCTGCCACGTGGATATCGATATCAAGCATTTTAGAATGTGTAATTTACATCAGTGTTATCTTAAACTTAAATGACGAAGTTAAACTACAAAGTAAAGACTCTTTTATTTCCTGTGGTTTTAACAGTTTAATAAAACTGTTTACAACGAAAGGCCATATTTAGTGTTTATTAATCAGGAAAATTCAAACAAATTGAAATATTTTTAACCTTGAAGCAATACAATGGGGGTTTGGAGATTAATCTTTGTTCTATTTCAGTCTTCGTCGTATCTATCAATACAATAAAGACGACTTTTTATTTTAGTTTATGATTTCTACCAAGCAGTCAAACAGCATGGATACACATAAACTTGGAAACAAAGAGAAGCTGTCAATTATCAGGTTTTCTTTGTTTAGTTAATTGTAAACTTGAAATTAAAAAAAAGCTGATTAGAAATCAAACATTAAAAGAAAATTCGTCTTTATGTGTATTTTCCCAAAGGCATTTTCCCAAGGGCGACTTCTCAAGTGACAATTTCCTAAGGGACATCTTGCCAAATGTGCAATTTTCCAAGAGGCAACTTCTCAAAGATTCGGTTAGGCCTTCTGAGGCGCCCCCGGCTGCAATAAGGGCCAAGTGCTGTAGCTTTAGAATGGGATAGAGGGGGGGGCGAGCGCTGCGGCTAGGATATACTTGAGAAGTTGCCGCTTGGGACATGGCTCAGTTGCCACTTAGGAAAATACCCCTGGGAAGTTGCCGCTTAACCCTATCCCTGCTGGGGTACTTGAAAACCAGGATACGCTGGGGGGGGGTCAATTTGCCCCCCCCCCCTCTAAATCCCATGTTTTATGTCCAAATATGACAAATGATACATCATTAGAAAGCTCTTGTGCTCTACTTTTAGAATCTGCAAAAAAATTTGCAAATTTGCGAAAATTGAATTTTTTTTCGCAAAATCCAGTTTTATAGTAAAAATGTTTGCAAAAAAAAATTTGTCCAAAAAATGACAAATTATACATTTTTGAAAAGCCCTTGACCATGCCATTTCAAATATGCAAAATTTTTTGCAAAATTTTAAATAACCTGATTTTTATTCAAGAAAAACTAAAAATGTGCAAATTTCCTTTGACAGGTTGTTTGCAAAAAATTTGCAATTTTTTTCTCGCAAAACTTGTGCAATCCGTTTCCTTATGTCATAGGCTTTCCAAAAAGCTAAATTTTATCAAAATCTGACAAGTGAAAGTGGGTCAAAACAAAGATTTAGTTTGTTACAGGCAAAAGCAGTCATTCAGGCAGTGTGCCTGAGGACTCAGGCAGTTAGTATTAAAGCCCGGTTTTAGGCCTAAAGGGAGGGCTTTGGGTATGTAAGAAAAGTCAGAAAATTTCAACAGCCTCAGACCAATACTTTTTGAGTTATGTAAAAAAAACTACAGGGGGGGGTCAAATTAACCCCCCCCCCCCAGCAGGAATAGGGTTAAGGGTAAAAACCTTTGGGAAAATACATAACATCCACTTTATTGTATTGATATAAACGCCGATCACTTTACCAACTCACCTGAAATATTGTTTTGATCTAACATGATAGTTCCAGAATGTGGCGAAAATAGAGAAAACTAAAAAAATCATTTTTATCAATTTAAAATGTTTTTTTTTATGTCTGCGAGTAAATACCTGATAGAATCATAGAAAATATGATAACTTGCTCGAAAGTGACTCCCAAGTAGTTGAAGTAATCCGTCTAAAAAAGTAAGATAATAATTGCGCGCCATGAACAAACGAAAGATTAAATTTAGCTTCGTGAATCCTTAGTTATGAGAAAAATATAAATTAATTATCCATGAGATTGCAGTTTTTGGCATATAATTGAAAAGCCTAAAACTCTACTTTGCAATCTGATGCATAATGGCACATTGCAATTAAGATGTGCACGCTCTCACACAAAAATCAAGCAGTATTTTGCTTATTGCTCCTTTTGAACTTAAGCTAGTAACAGACTTGTATAAAATATATATGACGTGAAGGTCTGGAAAAAAAAAAGTGAGTTTTGAGATGAAACCAAAGTCAATGGCGTTTCGATACTTCAAAGTTGAGGCTGTATAGAAATTTATTGACTCAGGGTTGTCTGTTTCTCAGTGGGCATAGACCTTTGATATTTCAATCATATGGATTCGTCTAGAAGTAGTCAAAAATTGAAATACCAAAGCTTGTTACCACACAAAGATTCAGACATCTAAAAAAACTATGCATCGATTTTCAATTTTCTAATTTCCTATTTCAATTTTTGTCCCTCAATTTAAAGTTTTTGTAACTAAAAGTAACCAATTGAGAGCAGCATAATTTAGTTGTATGTAAATTTTAGAATTAAACCTTCAGTGTTTTGATTCTGTGCTATAAAACTATTAGTTTTGGTCAATTTGCTTAGAAATATCATGTTTTGCGAAAAAAATATACGTTTTACGAATACTTTCGGTTTTGCACAGATTACAAAAAAATGCGCAAAAACGCGGAAAACTTATTGCGCGAAAATTACGCAAATTTTGCGCCAAAAAATATGGGCATTTCGTGGAAACCTAACCTGAATTAATGTTTTGAGTCGAAGTAGGACCACGCTTTGCAAGATCAATTGACCGAATGCTTCACAAACAACCTAAATTATCAAATTTAAAATGCAGTACTCGGAATAAAAGCGAAAAAGGTATGGAAAAATGAGATGACTTGAAATATTTTTTTATTTCCAAAAGTTGACAGGAGGTATTTGTTTTTTAACCGTTTTATAACGTGGTCTCCCTTCTCTGTATCTTGGAAATTGAGGGAGGTAGGTATTAGATAAATAGACATTTTTTTATTTTCCTTGATAAATTGATTTTTTTTCATAAGTCTGTAATTACATTCAAATTGTATGGCAGTGGCAGACCAAATTGTTAAATACCTAGACGAGAGGTTTTCAATGATTATGATTTCTTAAGGATTAATCCTAAAATTGTGTATATAAAAGTCTTTACTTACTGTTCATGTTTATTGGGATACACTGTAATTAAACTCAATCTCACTACTTTCTTTAATAGTATTTCTGTCTTTGCCACAAACTCTGATTATCAAATTCCTATATCTTTCCAACCCAATTTCGTAGACCTTATATTTTTTAACTATGTATTCTGAATGTGTATAGTCTAAGTTTAAAATATCAAAGGTTTACACTATCCGGTTGCAAAGATATAGGCCTTAAAAAATTTTTATGTGTGGCAAAGACGCAATAGTCAATTTTGTACTCATATTTCTATGTTTAGGGATACTTTTGTTGCGAAAGAAAAATAGAAATAAAATCAAAAAATTTTATTACTCGGTTTGAAAAATTGAAGAAAATATTACTTCAATAATTTTCATGTTGAGAGCCAGTTTCTCAATAAGCTTCTCCTCGTAAAGGAGCTCGAGGTACTCCTTGAACATGTTCGGCTTCCACTCAGCGTCCATCAGCTTATTCAGCTAAAATATGAGAACAATAAAGAGATTGCTAACGTAATTGAGGCGAACCCGCTTTTTTACAAAAGTTCAATCCATGACACTACTTTGGATACCAACGGAATTTAATAAATTTTCGCTTAACAAAATTTCGTGAACGAAAATTTTTGTTGTCCTTCCAATTTTTTGTTGGCTAAAGATTTTCGCAAAAGTTAACGAACATTTGGAAACCTTAGACGCATACCAGGTTATAATTTGGGTACCCTAGACGCTACCATGTTATAATTTGGAAACCCTAGATGCTGCCAGGTTATAATTTGGAAACCCTAGACGCTGCCAGGTTATAATTTGGAAACCTTAGACGCATACCAGGTTATAATTTGGAAACCCTAGACTCTATCAGGTTATAATTTGGAAACCCTAGACGCTACCAGGTTATAATTTGGAAACCCTAGACGCTACCAGGTTATAATTTGGAAACCTTAGACGCTACCATGTTATAATTTGGAAACCCTAGACGCTTGTTATAATTTGGAAACCCTAGACGCTGCCAGGTTATAATTTGGAAACCCTAGACGCTACCAGGTTATAATTTGGAAACCATAGACGCTACCAGGTTATAATTTGGAAACCCTAGACGCTACCAGGTTATAATTTGGAAATCCTAGACGCTACCATGATATAATTTGGAAACCCTAGACGCTACCAGGTTATAATTTGGAAACCCTAGACGCTACCATGTTATAATTTGGAAATCCTAGACGCTACCATGTTATAATTTGGAAACCCTAGACGCTACCAAATTATAATTTGGAAACCTTAGACGCTACCAGGTTATAATTTGGAAACCTTAAACGCTACCAGGTTATAATTTGGAAACCATAGACGCTACCAGGTTATAATTTGGAAACCCTAGACGCTACCAGGTTATAATTTGGAAACCTTAGACGCTACCATGTTATAATTTGGAAACCCTAGACGCTGCCAGGTTATAATTTGGAAACCCTAGACGCTGCCAGGTTATAATTTGGAAACCCTAGACGCTACCAGGTTATAATTTGGAAACCTTAGACGCTACCAGGTTATAATTTGGAAACCTTAGACTCTACTGGTTATAATTTATCGCATTCTTCCAAAAGTCGACTTTTCTTGACAAAAACATAAGCCGATTTTATTCAACTTTTTATTTCGAGTCGTGAGATCTAAACATGTATCAAAAAATAATCCAACTCTGTTAGTTGGGTTTTGATTGAGAGTTTGCTAAAACTCACGTAAACAAACTCTCCAAACAAATAACATTAATGTGGAAAAAAAGAAATTTGTGAAATCAAATTAATTTAAGGAAAATTTCAGTTAATTAAGGGAAAATATTAAGGATTTGAAAATGCATAACTTTTCTCTTCATTAAACATGTTGAGCTTGTCATTTTGACACGCCAGCAAAAGAAAAAGAAAAAAATTTCTAAATGAATAAGTTTGACGACACTATCAGTCATTTTTCTCGCTTCACGAACTGTAATTTAATAATCCCTATATCTTGTGACCGGATGGTGTATTTTCATTGACGGAAATCATGAGTTTGAAATATCAATCGAATATCGAAGATATGGGATTAAAAAAAAGATGTTGTGTCCAATGGAAGTGTTCAGTTTCCATAAGCTAAAAATGAGCGTTTAAAACTGAAATATCGAAAAAATAGGTTTTTTTACCTCAACTTTTATAGCAGTATCTTCTGCGAATACAAGAATTGCCAGGGTGGACGGAATAAACTGAACTAACGATAATAAAGCTGCCCAGCCCTTGCTCTGATGTTCACAAAGCGTGAGAAATCTTGGTTTTCTAGTAATCATACTCCAGTAGACCTACATACCATTTATAGTTATATATATTTTAATCAGTAGTGAACGGAAAACATACCATAAACTATTGTAAAATAAAAACGCGAATTGAAAAGTACTTCAGTTCAAAAAGCATTTGAAAGTCAAGGTTCTAGGATTGGTTTAAAGTTGGCAACTTTAGGCTTTACAAGCGTGTAAAGAAACATGAAGTATCATATTGTATGTTTGTATTCAAATATCAGAACTAACCTCGAATTTCTCATTCAAAACCGATTTAAGGACGCGATTAAACAAAATGATAAATTAATATCTAATCATACATAGCACTATATAAATTATATCCCTGAGTAACTATGTGGCTGAGGAGGAGAAGTCCACATGAAGTAATGAACACGTAATAAATATTAAAATCAAAATATTGTTGATATCTTCTATTTCCATCAAACTCCTAACAAAATCCACAAAGATTTCATTTCGACAGTTTTTTTTTATTCATTTTTTTCTCTTTTCTTATATTTTGTTTATTTTGTGTTTACTATTTGTTATTGTTATGATATGTATGTTTTCATTTAACTTTACATTCCAATTTTAATTCTTTTATAAAGTTATTTATTTTGAAATCATTGTATGACGTTCCTCTTGTATGATGTTTGTATCGTAATGTTGAACCGCGGTAGTGAAGGTAATATCCTGAAATTAATAAAAAAAAATGTTGTTTATTTGGATCTAATACAAGCTGAAACGGCCAAAGTGATCTGTGCGGAACCTGACATTACCAAAGGGAAGGTTGATGGTCAGCTAACAAGTTTTGAGATTTTTTTTTTTGAAAACTCTTGAAAAATTAGAAATAAAAACCCCCGTAAACAAATTAGTAACAGTAAACCGAAGAAAGGTTATCAACCTTTCTTGCCAATATTTAAATATTATTAAAATCGAAATACGAAAAAAAACTGAGAAGAACATTCTATCTTGACATTTTGTGAAAATCATCAGAAACACGGTGAGGATCTTGTAAGATTTAAAAAGGAAAAAATCGCAATGGCGGATGATTAACCGTTCTTTTGATAAATTAGATAAAAATAAATACACTTACAAAAGAGTAATTTTCTAACAAAATGATAATAATAATTATTTTGTATTCAATAGTTTAATAGTATTTACCTTTACTATATCTGCAATATTGAAGACGACTAATAGAAAATGTGAGAGAATAAAATAGTTTGAGATTATTATCCTAAAACCATAGATTAATTAAAAATGCTAGATAGAACACTAGATGTCGTCTTTTCAAGATTTAGGGGTTTTTGTTTTCAATATCCCTGGGACAGACGCCCAATTGAGTTACGCGCATGCTGCGTCTTTAAAAGATGAAAGATCTTGTGACCTATCCGTTATTTTAATTAATCTATGCCTAAAACTAGATCTAGGCTGAGGGTTGGGAGATTTCTCCAGGGTTAGTTTGAGTCCACAGCACTCCGAACTTAACCCCTCCTCAGGGATACAGTTCTTTAAAGCTTTCCCAGCAGTTTTAACCTTTAACTTCAAACCCTTCATACAAACAGAGGGTTGGATCAATGAATTCATTTTTATTTGTCTAAAAACTGTGAAGATCAGATTTTGATTTGGATATATTGTAGAATATTTCCCCATACCCCCAACCCCCTCCCATCCCCTAACCCCACTCTTATTCTTCTAATTCACTGGAAATGGATATTTTCCGATAAGTTTGTATACAATGTTAATAAAAAGACTCTTTCAGTTTTCTGCTGAAAATCGGAAAACCGTGCACTGTATTTTTAACTATGCATGTAAACCGTTGTGATTTATCTCAGCTGTACGTTTTCTAATTCGAATAAAACGTGTTATGTTACTCAATACTCAATATGTGAAAATAAATGTTTAGGGTTTTCCTACGACTTTTTGACGCACGTTATGATTTAAAAAGTCGAATTTAAAATGAAATAGAGCAATTCTGCAGTGCACACAGACCTATTTTATCCAAAAGTTGTTTTAGGGCTATTTTTTAAAAACTGTTTGCTTCATGATAAAATATCTAATGTAAGATTGCTCAAAATTCTTCTTCATCCATAACACATGAGTGTGACACTAACATCTCCCTTTTTAAAAGGAAAAATAATTATCCAGTCCCCTCCTGCCTGAAGATATCTATTTCTGTTATGTTTGTACTCGAGAAAGCTCGCCAACTCTTCAACTATTTTCCCATTGCCAAACCTCTCCTTCATACAGGTGTAGTAGCCCTGAGAGTAAAATCAGTCTTAAAGGAACTGTAAGCGTAATTTCAACTGACCTTCCATTTCTAGAGTGACATGTCCAGTTTACAACGATACCCTTTAAACCTTTACAGATTAAGCGGAAAATGAAGTGCTAAGAAACGTAAGGGAGTGTACACAAGCACTGAGAATACAACGTACAGTGTGTACACTGTAATCGCGAGTCTCCCGGCACTCATGACTTAATCTTCGGCTCTACAAAAGAGGGAGTCTACCTTATTGTTGTCAGATCAAAGTTTTAAAGGGTACCGTTGTGAATCGCACAATCCTCTCTTTTAAATGAAAGGTCACTTAAAATTATGCGTACAGCCCCTTTTAGAGGTTGAATCATTTGAAAAAACTATGATTTTCAAATCTTTGATACCCAATGTTACACCATGAAGTTAAAGGATTGCGTAAATTTAAGTTTGATTTCGAATTTTAAATTCATTTTTATAAAATCATGATTGATTATACATTATTTTAGTATTTACAGATTTGTCTTCATAAGATCATAAAAATTGTTAATTATTAGCACTTTTAGAGTCTGCAACTTAGTGTCGAAACAGAGTTAAAATAATCTGATCTTTTTTTGTTTGTTTATCCTATGTGATTTTTTACATTTTCTATTTTTTCATCGATTTTGATGGTTATTATATCGTTAGAACTGACGAGGGTCAACCCAGACCGAAATATATTTTCAATAAATGTGGAACTAACATGTACTTTTTTACTCTACAGAGGTTTGGTCCCTCACCATCACTGAGTTTTAAAATAAAACTTACTTTCCCCCTTAAACTATAAATACGACAGTGTTGAAAGAAATGAAATTTCAGTATGTTTTTATTTAATTTCCAACGACAGATATTTTTTTCATTTTTAAGAATTAATGCAGCATTTTCAAGTTTTACCATAATTTGAAATAGAATTAGAAAGATTAATAAACTCTATTTAAAAAGTTTGTTGTTTAATCAAAGGAGAAAAATCCTTGAACGTTTATAATTCTTGTGTGTTGAGTTCAAATATAGGAAATATGTTTGAAGCCTCCACAAATACAATGAATTGGTCTGCCGGAAAATAATTATAGCTTTCAGAAAACCTAAAGGAACAATTAGAAAAGGAAAATAAAATATATTTAATATAAAATTATTTACCTGCGAGGTTTCGTGAAAAAATTGTTCAATTTCATCAATTCGAGAGAGGGTCACTTTTCTTAGTGATTTATTTCCCCTAAGCACAACAAAGAATCAGCAAAAAAAAATGTTTTGGATAATAAGGCCCGATTTTTTGGTAACTCACAGGCCGCCAGAAAAGATTTGTGGACGGACGAATTACCTCAACTAAATTTTGATTTGTAACTAATTTTGTAAGTCCGTCATTAAAAACAAATAAAATGCCCGGCGTTGCCCGTGAAATTTTAAAAAAATTGAATTTTGAAAAAAATCTTTTTTTGTTGTTGTCTTGTTCTCATTGCGATACCAATGGGTTCTGCCAATTCGGAGCTAATTTTGTGACGAGCAAAGCGTGATGGAAGCCTAGTGTTATTAATAAAGACATAAATACCTGAAAGAAAGAATGTATCCAAGTATTGAAGTGAGAGCAATATGTTTATTTTTACTCTCATGACATTCTTCATATTCAAGTTTAAACAGTGTATCATTCGGGTCCGCCATACTATTCTAGAAATATAAACAAAACTTTATTTTCCCGTTTCTCACATGTACAGGTTTTCAATTTGTTACGAATCATATTGATTAAAGGGACTGTAAGCGTAATTTCAAGTCACACTGCATGCAAGGATTGCCAAGCTCGATTCACAATGGTGCCCGGAAAAGCTTTATCTGATCAAGCATGAATTAATTATCAATGGATCAGATAAAGGTATCAAGGGTACTGTTGTTAATCGGTCTTTATCATCTTTGTAAGGAGAGTCACTGAAAATTACGCTTACGGTACGGTCTCTTATGAAGTGACTTTTTTTAACCTCTGCCAAAGCCATAATTATAACTTTTTTTAAATTTGCAAACATCTACAAACTAAGCCATACATATTGTCTAAATCCCACGGTTTTCATGAGTAATGTATAGGCTGAATATTTTTAAAATTCTAATTGGCTTTGTTTAAGATTTTTGCCTCTTCAAATTTATTTTTAAATGGAAGTGATGACTGATGACATTTTCAGTTGAAGAAGATATGCAATCATGAGGTTTTTCCATTTGTTATCTATATAAACTAGCTGAAAGGCCCGGCGTTGCCCGTGGAAAAAGAATATGAGGAAAAAAAATCATTTTTAGCCTATAACACCCCCCGGCCACCCATGAGTGTCCACAACAAATTTCAGGACAATCAGTCCAGCCGTTTCACACCGGATTAACCAGAGTGAGCAGCATTCGGTTTCTTCTATTTGAAATCAAACGAGTTTTGGTCTTTCATTCAAAAATCATTTACTTTACGGATTTGTTTATTCTGTACTTTTTCATACAAAATGCATATGCCGACAAAAAAGTATTTTATAAATAAGGCTAACAAATTATGTTTAATGGGTCAAATTGTGATTAAAAGTCACAGCTTTCTGGAATATTGACAGAACCGTAAATCCACGTGTTTTGGCCGGCTATACGCAACATATACGAATGTCTTGTTTTATTATATAGATAAAGTAGTAATCTCTGTGTCTTTGTTTGTCAGGTTATGACTCAGGAACTCTTTAACCGATTTGCCTCAAATTTTGAATGGGGAACTCTGAGGAACCACGGAAATGATATAATCCAGGTTTAAAAGTTCTAAGTTGAATAATTTGACTCTTATAAAGAAAATTTTGTTTCAATCCAAAGCTGTGTTCCTAAACTATTGTATATAAACATAAACAGTAAACATCTTTTTCCTTTCTCAATACGAAAAGTGAAAAACTAAAAAAATATTATAAACCAAATATTTTTATTGGCCTCTTGATTTAAATTAAAAATTGTCGTTTTAAACTGATAAAGTACGCTATCAATTGTATAAAGAATACCAAGCAGAATGTATATTGCAAGGAAGTGTTTATTTTCTGTATATCATAATATATCTTTTATATTTTTACTAATATTTACACCTTTTAACAAGTTCACATTTCTAAAGTGTAACAAAAACCTGCAAAAATTCACAACTTCTGTCCCAAACTATTTTTTAAAGTCTTTTTCCATCCGGATCAGACCCCCGGCCCGTCCTGTGATTGTTAAATATAAATATTCATTTTGTATCAAAAATGTTATGCTTACCCTAATATCTGATATTCTCTGAGAAAGTCTTGAACAGGTTGTACTGATATGGGAAGGATGAAAACATTTGAAGAATTCTTGTTTCTTCACAAAAATAAAAACCACCAGGACAATAAACATGTAGAGAAATATCACCAGGCTCATATTTCTGGAATAAAACTAAAATATTTTATTCAATATTTTGATCGGTGAAAAAGACTAGCTAAGGCCGAGTTTAAAGAATTTTAACCGCCTCGCTGAACCGCCAATAACCGGTTCCAACTGAGCTCCAGCTCAAATCTCGAAACACTTATTAAAATTTCCAGCTGAACCTACCATGTTTGAACCGCGTTTAGACTCTGGACACAGTTCAAATTCTTTAAATTCGGCCTCTCATTGGACTTAAAGCTTGTTATGAAGGAGGACTATTGCCAAGTAAAAGGACTATTACCTGGTAAAGGTACTTTTACTTGGTAAAGGGGCTATTACAAGAGACAAGTAAAAGGACTATTACCTAGGAAAGGGATTATTACCTCGTAAAGGGACTATCACAAGAGACTAGTAAAATAAAAGGACTATTACCTAGTAAAGGAGCTATTACAAGAGACTAGTAAAAGAAAAGGACTTTTACCTAGTAAAGGGGCTATTACAAGAGACTAGTAAAAGAAAAGGACTATTACCTAGTAAAGGGGCTATTACGAGAGACTAGTAAAAGAAAAGGACTTTTACATAGTAAAGGAACTATTACAAGAGACTAGTAAAAGGACTAATACCTAGTAAAGTGGCTATTACAAGAGACTAGTAAAAGGACTAATACCTAGTAAAGTGGCTATTACAAGAGACTAGTAAAAGGACTAATGCCTAGTAAAGTGGCTATTACAAGAGACTAGTAAAAGGACTATTACCTAGTAAAGGGATTATTATCTCGTAAAGGGACTATTACCTGTTAAAGGGACTATTACCTAGTAAAAAGACTATTACTTAGTAAAGGGAATATTACCTGTTAAAGGGACTATTACCTAGTAAAAAGACTATTACTTGGTAAAGGGATTATTACCTAGAAAAGGGACTTTTACCTAGTGAAGTGACTATTACTTAGTAAAGGGAATATTACCTGTTAAAGGGACTATTACCTAGTAAAAAGACTATTACTTGGTAAACGGATTATTACCTAGGAAAGGGACTATTACCTAGTGAAGTGACTATTACCTAATAAAGGGACTATTACCTAGTAAAGGGACTATTACCTAGTAAAGGGACTACCCTGACAAACCAACTCCTCTTCATCTCTTTTCCCGTTAGGACAATCATCTATACTGTCACACACCTTATAATATAGTTCTATATAAGATCCTTCAAAATAAGAGTGTACGCTATATATTTACTAAATTGATCAGTTTTTATCACTTTAAGAAGTTATCAAAATTCAAGGACTTTCGAAGAATCTTTTCATCGAAGACACTTTTTAAGATGAAAATGTGTGGATTTGTTGATGTTAATGGGATCTCCAATGAAAAAGTGAGGATCTATGAATATGATAGGGTTTTCATTTGCAATTGTGCAATAATAGCGCACAATTTGATATGTAACATAACTTTACAAATTCCAATATATCTTGCTGTGTGCCACAACAAAAAACCGTACTAGTAAGATAAAAATATTATTTTCTAGTGTCTCCTGATGTTACGAACATTAGAATAAAAAGAAAAAGGAGTTGAGTCTTTGCCACACACTTAATATGTTCAAATCCTTGTCTTTGCAACCTATAATTGATGTAAACTTCGATTATTTGATTTGACATAATTTACAGTTTGAAATATTTATAAGGTCTATGATATTTGGTAGTGAAGATATAAAAATTAAAAAATCAGAGTTTGTGGCAAAGACTACATTCCTTATGCTCATCATTGCGTTAAAACTTGTCGCATTAATAGCAATAGTTCTCCATTGCCTCAAAAGCTAATTTTTTTGCAAGTTTTTTGAAAATTAAAATCGAAACATATTTTCTATTATTACTAAAGGCAATTACTGTTGCCGATAAAAACAGTTAGTGTATGGACACTCTATTCTTTAATAATATAAAATTTTATGAAAATAAAAATAAAAACGAAACGAAAACAGATAGTTTTTCCGATCCTTTTCAACAACGATTAACAACCCATACATGCATATACTCACGTAAAACTATATCAATTTTGACTATTTGCGAAGCATCATTAGGGCCGATTATGACTATTTTAGGTCAAAAAAGGTAGGTTTGACATCTTATGAATCAAAGAGAATGAGAATCTCTAGCAAAATGAACTTTGGAGGATTCTTTTGGGTAGTGACGAAAATACAGAGCATGTCATAATGGATTAAATCAAATCTTTCAAAAAGATTTACCTATCAACACAGCCAGCAAAGTTGCAAGCAGTTATTTTGAATAGGTATGATGTTGCCACCTCCAGTTCAAGAAACTGAAACTCGGTCTCATTCCTAGGAAATATAAAATTCTACAGCGAATCCTATATATATGAATACATAGACAGTCATAAGTTTTTTGAAAATTCTGAAGACACTTCTTTTTATTTTTCATTCAAAGTAAAGTAATAGCCCTAAAATATGATATATATGATATATATATGATATTGATATATTAATATTAAACTCATTTTTCCGCGGAATTTGATCTGAAATATGTGATACGACATTATAAAAACTCTTGCTATGTATTCATATATCTGGGATTCACTGTAGATAGAAAACGATGATGGCTTGATAATTGTTGTTAAGAGGGAGGTTTAAAAGAGTGCCGTTGTGAATCTGACACATGCCACTCTATAACTGGAGGGTCACTTGAAATTACATCTACTTTTCCTTTAATCTAAACAGATATAAGAGTATCTGTCTACATTTTGTGAGTCTTAAGTGTCAAACCTTTCAATCCCATTATGCAGTATTGACGCCCCGTACGTGTGTATATATCTTCTCTAAAAATAATTTGTCTCCCCCCCCTGCCCTCTCTTTCGGGTTTCATTTGCTGAATTGGTGAAAATAACTGATATATTGGATGAAATCAATAAAAAGTTGCGTTTTGATATCAAATTTTTCATTTTCCCCCCANAGCCCCCTCACTCAGTGATCAAGGTCATGAGTGTCGATGAAGCAATTACCAAAATAGTGACTTAATACAAGAGAAAGTGATATTACGAATACAACGTTTCCTCATTTTGTTCGTAACAATATCAAATGTACTGTGCATTAGAATTTTTAACAGTGTTTGAATAAAACTAAAAATTTATTATTTTCCAAAAGATATTTGATCTTTTACATCCTTTATACGCACTCTGTTCCTATATTCCCTGGAGAATATGTATTTTAAAACAATTGTTGGAAAGAATATTATATTTGATTACATTATACTCCGGAGAAGTTTTCTAAGAAATAAAGGAAAATTTAACTGAAACTTTTCAAAAGTCTGCATAATAAAACCTCGAGATTAATTCATGTTCATTTTGTTAAAACAGAATATTCAGATTTGATGAGATACATTTATAAAACAAAATTACTTACATTTCAGATTTTCAATAAAATCTAAAATTATACTGTATAGCAAAATCGCAAAAGTTTACATTATCTCAAACATTTTCTATGGTAAAAAAATAAAAATAAATAAATTTTTACCAACTTAATTACTTCATTTTTTCAATTGCCTTTTATACAATTTAGAGGAATAGAGTTTTTGCCACAAACTCTGATTTGTATTCCTTAAATCTTTACAACAGTATCTTTTATTGCATTTTAGACCATACAAATTAATGTTTTACCATGACTTAAAAAAAATGTTGATAAATTTCGAACGTTCACGGTTTGAAAATAAAGTGACAATATAAAATGAAGATTTTATTGAGTAAAAACACCTTATTATAAACTGTAGATTCTAACCTGAAGCAATGTTGAAATTTATGTGGTTTAAAAACTGACTGAAAAATGTTATCAGGAAACTTACAGTAGTGTTCCTCAACCATTTTATCTCCTAAAGTAATACAATTTTTCAATTTCTGCTGCGCAAGTCAATGGTTTCTTTCAATTTCATTTACTGATGCTAAAAGTTTTATTTGAAAATTATTTTGTATTAAATAAGAACCTGCAAGATTGTATGCTGTAGCCGTGATATTCTGAAGTGAGTTACTGGAATCATTGAAGGCTGCAAACGCAATTATAACTCTAAGATAAAATTTAATGAAACAGACAGCTATTTTTTTAAGGCTAAGTATTTGGTAGTTCCCGGTGTTGCCAAGGTAACTCATAGTTACTCCCGCAGTTTTCCCGCTCTTGGCCTTAAATTATGATTTTGGCCAATAGTCTCCAGTCCCTAAAAGAATTTCCGCCAATTTTGTCGAGCCGTTTGGCCATCTATAGCGAACATGCATATAAGCGAAGAGCTTAAATCTATTTGCATTAAGGACAAAATTAAATAAATTTATGGTTTAATTTCAGTAAATCAGTTTTAACTCATTAAACTGCAAAACGAAAAACATAATCAGAGTAAAACATCCTATGTCAAATTTTGGACTGGTTTTGCTTTTATGTTTCTTGATTTCTGAGAATTAAGGGAAATGATTTTCAAGCTGGTGTTTTATTAAATTCCTGCCAATGACTGATAACTTTGGGTTTACTTTAATATCATTAACAACTCTAATATAGTTATTCTCTTCAGAATTCAAAGTTGGACACTCGTCACTAAAAAATTAATCTTTTACACCGTGAAATTTTTAATATTTTAATATTTCTTAAAACTTTTTTTAAGGGTTTGATCACTAATATATACTTTTGAAATTTCAGGCAAAATTTCATCATTCTGCTGAAATTGCAAGCAAATATGCGCAATATTGCGAAAAATTGCGGGAAAATAGCGGTTTTCTAAGTGATTTCTAGACATATATTTCAGGTTTAAACCGGTACGAAAGACTTAAAGTTTTCATTCTATTTTTCTAACTGGACATTTGGTGCATTTTGAAATAGATGAACAATATTCTTTTTAAATGGAAGAATTGGTTGGCAGGTGTAAAGATTAATTTCCTTTTGTCGTCACAGTCGTTGATATTGTCACATCGCCATTCCTTGGGAATACACTGGCTCTTACTATAATTTCATTTACCAAGTTTTATCTTGTTATAAAGGGGTTAAACATGTTTTAATTTGCTCTTTTATGATGCACACAAAGAAATATCAAATTTTCATGCCACAAAATTTGTTGAAGCACCGGCGCCAAACTCAATGAATAATGCTACTAAGCTGAATTTGGTTCCGGTTTTCCGAAGAATTTAGTTGGATGACAATTTACTTATGTGTTAAGGGATCTATTTTAAGAATAATTGTATTAATTCTGACTTTCTTTTTCATGTTAAATTTATGGAAGATTTAATATATAATTTAACAAATACTTTAGGATAATTGGTATAAATCGTTTTATGTGCACAAAACTCTGAGAAGTGAAAATTAAACAAAATTTGGAACTCAACAAAAATGTTAGATTTGTTGACAAAATTTGGCATATGTTCCTAATGCACGCAAATAAGTTATTCTCGCAGAGATCTTCTATCATTCGAGTATTTTTCTTGAGATCCGGTCTCTCCCGCCGATTCTGGCAAATTATTTCCAGATTGTGTGGCATGTTGTACGTTCCGTTTCCTGCCGATTCAAAAATATTATTTAGTATACTAATCTCACTGTAAAAATGATGGTGTATCACTGTGACATTACCAGTACATCTTTGTGACCTCGTACAGCTTCTTTAGATTTAATTTTACGCACAATTATGAGAAAATCAAATTTATTTGGTTACATATTAGAAATTTAAACATTTCTGTTCTTCTCAATACCTTTCAATTGAAAGAGTTATGATTAAAGATTTAAATCTTGAGTGCAATTTACTGTAGTTCGAAGCGTGGTATGGTCTCATTAAAGATATTCTGAAAATATGTTTAATCCGATGAAAACTGGTCATCGACACTGATGTTTTTGAAAAATATAAATATAAAATTAAAATAAGTAAAATTAAAATTAAAATATCCATTGATCGTACAATTCAGTTATTTCTAACTTTACAGATTAAAAAATAAAACGATAGCATTATGAAACTCATTTATTTTCAGTTTTCTTAAATCACACTCTCCCTTTACCTGAGTCAAATCTCCAAAGAGAGGTATTCCTTTCAGCACTTTGTGAAACACACCGAGTGTTGTTTAATGTTGACTCCCAATGCGTCTAAATATCATCTGTATATGAAGTGTCTTATCTATAAAATGCCCTATCTATGAAGTGTCTTAACTATAAAATGCCCTATCTATGAAGTGTCTTGTCTATAAAATGCCATATCTATGAAGTGTCTTATCTATAAAATGCCCTATCTATGAAATGTCTTATCAAAAAATGCCCTATCTATGAAATGTCTTATTTATGAAATGTCTTATCTATGAAATGACCCATCTAAAAAATGTCTTAACTATGAATGAAATGCCATATCTATGAAATGTCCTATCTATGAAATCACTTATTTATTAAATATCTTATATATAAAATGAATCATCTATGAAATGTCTTATACATAAGATTTCATATCTATGAATTGTTATCTTTGACATGTATTCATGTAAAATTTCTATCTATTAAATGTCCGAACGCCAATTTAATCTGAATAAAATTTGAAGAATATTTTTTGTTTTGCATTTTTAACATTTTAATATCATTCAGCGTTAAAAATAGTTTTGGTGGTTTATATTTACCCTAGGATATGTTCCCACTGCTTCAGCTGTTGCTACCCATATCTTCTGCTTCGCATCATAACGAATCTTTTTTGAAATGGCGGAATTTTCTTTCTTTTCATACACTATACGACCTACAGATTTAAATTATTAAGTTAAATTATCAGGATATCTTCGTGGTTCAATTTGAATTTATATGCTGAAAAGGGTAAAGCAGTAATTGTAAATAAGTAATACAATAATATTCATAAACTTCTGTGTTTAATATTAATCGGAACTTTCCAGAAGTTTAACCACAAAATACATTTTTGAATTTAAATGATTTTAAAATATATAACTCTATGGATAGTAGTTTGTTTGTATTATTTATTACCTGTTTTATCGTAGTCAATTCTTCTGTAAATCCCGAAAAAATCAGTTTTACTCCTTGGAATAGAATATTTCAAAACAATAACCAACGGAAGGTATTTAACATTAAAAGACATTCAGCGTAATTTCCGGAGGCCTCAAGAGGTGCATTTCCGACAATAACGGTCCCATAGATGGATCAAGGATAAAAAAATTTCATTACTTGTAAATAATGTGAAACACTTTGTTTGCAAGCTTTTTTAAATCTAAGAAATATTGATATTTACTTTCTAGAAATGGATTTAAAGGATTTATAAAGGATTTAAAGAATTTAAAGGATTTAAAGGATTTAAAGGATTTAAAGGATTTAAAGGATTTATAGGATTTAAAGGATTTAGAGGATTTAAAGGATTTATAAAGGATTTAAAGGATATAAAGGATTTTAAAAGATTTAAAGGATTTAAAGGATTTAAAGGATTTAAAATATTTAAAGGATTTAAAGGATTTAAAGGATTTATAAAGGATTTAAAGGATTTAAAGGATTTATAAAGGATTTAAAGGATATAAAGGATTTTAAAAGATTTAAAGGATTTAAAGGATTTAAAGGATTTACAGGATTTAAAGGATTTAAAGGATTAAAATGATTTAAAGGATTTAAAGGATTTAAAAGATTTTTAGGATTTAAAGGATTTAAATATTTAAAGGATTTAAAGGATTTAAAGGATTCAAAGGATTTAAACGATTTAAAGGATTTAAAGGATTTATAAAAGATTTAAAGGATTTAAAGGATTTATAAAGGATTTAAAGAATTTAAAGGATTTAAAGGATTTAAAGGATTTAAAGGATTTAAAGGATTTAAAGGATTTAAAGGATTTAAAGAATTTAAAGGATTAAAAGGATTTATAAAGGATTTAAAAGATTTAAAGGATTTAAAGGGTGAATCGAATGTCCCTCTTTAAATGGAATGTCGATTAACGTCACTTTAAGTAGCATCTAGCTAATATTTAACTACAGTGGTAGGCGATTATAGCAATACAATGAAGACGCCTTTTTTATTTAAGTTTTTATTGTTTCTTTGTTCGTTTGAAGCTTTTTCGAATTACAAGTTTACGAGTAATCAAAGAGAAGCTCTTTTAATTAACAGCTTCTATTGACTCCTATGCTTATGTGTATCCAATATCCGTGCTGTTTAACCCTATCTCTGCTGGGGTACTTGAAAACCAGGATATGCTGGGGGGGGGGGTCAATTTGACCCCCCCTCTAAATCCCATGTTTGATGTCCAAATATGACAAATGATACATCATTGGAAAGCTCTTGTGCTCTACTTTTAGAATCTGCGAAAAAAATTGCAAATTTGCAAAAATTGAATTTTTTATCGTAAAATCCAGTTATATAGTAAAAATGTTTGCAAAAAAAAAATTTGTCCAAAAAATGAAAAATTATATATTTTTTAAAAGCCCTTGATCATGCCATTTCGAATATGCAAAAAATTTTGCAAAATTTTAAATAACCTGATTTTTAATCAAGGAAAACTAAAAATTTGCAAATTTCCTTTTACAGATTGTTTGCAAAAAATTTGCAATTTATTTTCGCAAAACTTGTGCAATTCGTTTCCTTATGTCAAAGGCTTTCCAAAAAGCTAAATTTTATTAAAATCTGACAAGTGGAAGTGGGTCAAAATAAAGATTTAGTTTGTTACAGGAAAAAGCAGTCATTCAGGCAGTGTGCCTGAGGACTCAGGCAGTTAGTATTAAAGCCCGGTTTTAGGCCTAAAGGGAGGGCTTTGGGTATGTAGGAAAAGTCAGAAAATTTCAACAGCCTCAGACCAATACTTTTTGAGAAAAAAAACTACAGGGGGGGGGTCAAATTGACCCCCCCCCCCAGCAGGAATAGGGTTAATAGCTTGATATAAATCAAAATTGAAATCAAAAATCGTCTTCATTGCATTGATATATCATCTATCATCTATTACTTTCAATAAATCATCTATTAAAAAATCACAATAAAACTTACTTGAATGAGGAAATGGATGTTCTGTTCTTAGTTGAAGTAGCAGAATTAAAAACGATATCTTCCAAACAGCAACCTAATGATAATAATTTTTTGATATGATAATGATACTAGTCTTTTGCTAAACATTTCCAAAATTACAAATTTAAAACAACAATAAGACAATGTGCCAGTCGGATCGCTTCACGTACGGGGGTGCTAGAATCGGGAAACACGCCGGTCACGGGGTGCAACCAAGACTTTCAATTAACAAACTTGAAAATTATAGATTAACTGTTATTTCTTGGTCTTTTTGTAGCAATTCTAAATTGTAAAAAGTGTAAGACACAGTGTAGGACACAGTGTAGGACACAGTGTAGGACACAGTGTAGGACACAGTGTAGGACACAGTGTAGGACACAGTGTAGGACACAGTGTAGGACACAGTGTAGGACACAGTGTAGGACACAGTGTAGGACACAGTGTAGGACACAGTGTAGGACACAGTGTAGGACACAGTGTAGGACACAGTGTAGGACACAGTGTAGGACACAGTGTAGGACACAGTGTAGGACACAGTGTAGGACACAGTGTAGGACACAGTGTAGGACACAGTGTAGGACACGGTGCAGGACACAGTGTAGGACTGAGGACACAGGATCGAGTCGCCAGAAAAATATGGAAAAATCGCAAATTCTCCTGTTAAAATGATGTTGAATCTATGAGGAATAATTATTTCCTTCTTTAATATTATTTTTGAATTATTTAAATCTTAAAATTTCATTTCATTCTAGGGTTCCATGCACAGATTCTTTTGATTCAATTTTAGAAAAGTTTGACAAAATTATGTTAAAAATTTCCTTGAATAATAATGTTTATTTGTTAATTTTCAAAAATCTACCTTTTGAGACACTGCACAACTTTAACGCAATCATGCACAAAACATGTAACATTCTTTTGATATCCATAACATCAGAAAAATAATTTGTTTTCCTATCAATACGATTTATTTTTAATTTGTGCAGATAAGTTAGCCAGCTACAAATCAAGTTTTGGTTATCATTACGTAATTGCAAATGGAAACCTTGTTTGATTTTGATGATTTCATGATTTTTTTAGTTGTAAATATTCTTACCGTCTCCTATATTACACTCAAAGGGGTCAGAACACAAATCACAGAATTTACCACTGTAGCCTAAATATCGAGTTTATAAACATTTTCAAAATTATTATTAATCTTATGTTCAAATTGAGACTTTGTCATAAAACTCTTATATTCTAATCCTGATGTCTTTGGAACTCAATGTCATGGATCTTAGACATTTTAAACTATAAATATTAAATATAGTTATAAGGATTAGAAAATTGGAGTGTGTGGCAAAGATTCAGCTCCTTTTTTATTGTCATTGGTATCATTATTATTATTATTATAATTATTATTGTGGTAATTATCGCAATTGTTATCATTATTTCATTATAATTATTAATATTATTATTATTATCATCATTATTATAATTCAAATCAATATTTCTATTATTACTACTACCTACCTTTAGTGCAGTTGCAAAAGAAATCATTAATACCGTCAATACAATATCCATTCCTAAAATATATCTATAGAGTACTTTAAACTGGACAGAAGGAGAAGATAAACTCTAGGTGACATGAACGATACAACTTTGAGACCTCGTAGCTCCTCTTTGCTTTGCTTGTACTCACAAGTATGAAAAAAATTTATTTTCCTGGTATATTCATAGAGAACGATTTTTGGACCCCCCCCCCCTTAATATTATTAATATATGTTATCACCTGCATGGATTAGGATAACATTCATTGATATTTGTTTCACAGAACCGTCCTGTAATAATAACTATTATATTTAATGCACATATGTTAATCAATTATTTACTTTCTAAACAGGAAGAGTAAAAAACACGACGATCATTTTTTAACTAGAAAATCAACAATATTTATAAAAAGATATTTTTTGTTTTTCAGAAAATAAATCCAATAACCGAAAAAATCAAAACCTTGTTGAAAATTATTAATCGCCTCAGACTTCGCTTTACTAATTCCTTTATTTTTTAACCTGAAAGTGCATAAACTCTTGAAATAATTTGAAAACCAATGATCTTCTTAATCCGGTTGCGAAGATTGACGGCTTTTATATTAGAGATGGCGAGTAAACACTTATCAATTGCATAAGACAATCTTCGAAAATTAGTATCGAACCCCGTATTTCCTATGAAAAATACCATATTCAATGTAATAAATATAACCTGAAAACCCGGAGGGACAGATGCATTGGTATTCATTGATACCATCCCTACATGTACTTCCATTCTCACACAGATTCTCCTCACAATCGTCGATATTTTCATCACACAGAGTACCTGAACAATAATATTAATAATAATAATAATAGTGATATTTATAAAAATGATAATAATAATGATAATAAATAAATAAATCTTTATTTTTTATTATCTGAGATTAATTTTTGAAAACATTTATTCCTATTTCAAGAATTTTTGATAATGAAGACGACATTTTCATATTTTCCAGGAATGTTCGAAAATCCAGCGCCAGCCGTGAAAAAATTGTCGATGATTATAGGTTGTAATATCTGAATAATTTGTTTGGAATTGATGTTTTACTATCCGATTCGAATGTTGCAACTGTCTGAATTTGTATGGACGATACGTTCTTCGGTATGAGTTGTTTTTATCAATTTTCTCCTTTTAGACGCAACAGATAGAACTAAGTTTAGTAGCGATCGCCATCGATTATTTTTCGACGTAAGCCTTTACCCACTTTCATTTTTCGCGAAGACTCCCTAGTTATAAAGAATGTTTTGCCAAATACTGCCTGAAATTTGTGTGAGAACGTTTAAATCTTGGTTTCTAGTTTGACCTGTATATCCAGAAGTACTGCAATCACAATTGAAGTCGTTTATCTCGTCCAAACAGTTTCCATGAAGACAGGGGTTTGACTAAACAATGAGGTTGTTGAATTTAATTTTTCAGCTCAAGTCCAGCTTAACTTTGATTTTAGAGTTAAGTCGAGATTAAGTTTAAGCTTAAGCTTAGGGGTTGTTAAGTTTATGTTTCCGCTTAAGTCCAGCTTAACTTTGATTTAAAAGTTAAGTCGAGAATAAGTTTTAGTTTAGTCGGTTCGGTTCGAATTCAAATTGACCCTGCGCTTTATGTTCAAGGTTGGAGTTGCAATGAAGTTTTAATAGAAAATTACCTCACAATCATTAATATTGACTTCACAATTTTTTCCTTTGAAGCCCGCTACACAGGAACACGAATATCCGTTTTCTTCGTCACTAAAAAATCACTGATGAGTGATGTATCATGTAAAGTGCAAAATGACGAATCAAAGAGATTATTTAGAATTTAGAGTGAGAACCAGATAACTGTGGAATTGGAAGACGACATTTAAGCAATAGCTAAGTGTATTTGATGGTATTACCAACGAAAAAAATTTACAAGTAACTTATTATAACTTATTAAATGAAATAAGTTTCTTTACACTGCACAATTATGGTTATCATTGTAATATTGAGATAAATATAAAGTTTTCTCATATTCCCAAAGAATACCTGCAAGTACCATTGTTTTTGCAAGGCAGAGGTTCACACTCATCAATGTCTTCTTCGCAAAATTTACCTCTGAAAATAGTTTATTATTTTTGTTATAGTTTACCTTACTTTAATCAGACAAAATTTGTATTCCCTTTTACCTGAATCCTGGTATACATTGACAAGTAAAATCGTTAATTCCATCAACACAAGTTCCTCCATTTTTACAAGGATTCACAGCACACTCGTTTATATCTACCTCACAGTTTTTACCTACAAAACAATAGATCCTTATATTCACGGTGGACTACGGTCTATATGATTCGACGCGCGACAAGTACTGGCCTGGCCCAATCCTAAGCATTTACTATAAGCCGGCTCAGTTTCAACTTTGATGGCGCGGTCAGACTTTTTACAGTACCCGGCCTATCATAGGCTTGACTTACCCCACTAGCTTAGTTTAGTGTGTATTGTGTGTGTTTGTTTTAAAACTTATTTTACTGTATAAAGGGGGCATAATGAGCAATTAGAAAAATGTTTGCTAATGCACTCAAAGGAGTTGCCACAAACTCTGATCTTTAAAATCCCTTTAAAACCAGAGATGGAATTTATAGAATTTGAGCCGCGGTTTAAATCCGCAAAACCCCGGTTTAAATTAAGCGCCGGCTTAATTCTTGAAACATTTGATACAATTTTAAGTGGAACCAACCATATTTAAACCGCGGCTTAAATTTAAACCGCCGCTCAAATTCTTTAAATTCGGCCACTGATGGTGTAAACCTAATATATTTCAAACTATGAATTCTGTTAAGTCAAAAGTCTAAATTTGAAATGTATAAGATGTACATCATCAGGCTGCAAAGATATAAGATAATTCTAAGAGGATAAGAAAATTTGAGTTTGTGGCAAAGTCTCAATTTCTATATAGAACCCCTGATTAATACATGTTGACAGAAAAACCGAACAAACAACTAATATCTTTCTTAGCTTGGTCAAAGAATAAATTAATTGCAATCTTTAAAATAATTCAAAATCTCAGTTTTTGTGTGAACGAAAGGAAGAAAATAAAAAAAAATAACAAAATAACAAATACAATACAAATCTTAGGTATCAACATCCATGTTAAAACCCCGAAATTCTGAATACATTCCAACAAACTTAAATTACAACTTAAATTTGTTTCTATTCCTCAAACAAACTTCAGTTAATAAATAAAACAAACTTGATTTAAGTTTAAAGCATAATTTCAAGTGACAATACATGCAAAGAAGGTAATGCCTGATTTACAATGATACTTTTAAAAGCTTTGTCTCTTCAAGAATGAATTAAAACTCCATGTGTGTGTTTCTTTAAAGGGAGTGACCGGCTATGTAAGGTAGTTGAAACTGAGTATGCAGTATTGGACAAATTCATTAGGATTCATTTTGAGTCTAATAAAACTTTTCAAAGATCTGTAAATCTGCAAAGTCGACGTTCAAAATCGTACTTCTGTGTGGATACATTTTGAGAATTTTTTTTTTAAAAATTAAATAGTTGTTTATGAACAGGTCGAGAAAATAAAAATTAACTCTTATCATCGAAAATAAGTAATCTTATTCAATTATTAGTTTCTATAATCTCTCGTTATTCACAAAGATTTTCTACTGATTTTCTGGAATTTTTATTGAAAAGACATCTTTTGAAGAATTTGTAGAAATCTGCAAATAAATTCATAGAAAATAAGAAATTAAAAAAATGATAAAAACCAAATAATTGTTCAAGTCTAATTAGTTTACTGTATGATTTTTACTTTATTTTTCGTCGTCGTTATTTAATAATTGTAAAAACGATTCTGAAAACGTACCCACCCAAATACATGATTTTGAACGTCGACTGTGCACTCAAATTCAGTAATTATACATCGTGGAAACGTTTTATATGTCTCAAATGAATCCTAAAGAATTTGTCCACAACACTGTATTCTCAGTTTGACTACTTTACATAACCGCGGTCCTTCCCTTTAAACCGTTTTTTTTTATTTACGGGTTCCCTACGAAGATTATCCATACTTACACATTTCTTGCTTTTAAGAATCAAGCAATAGAGAAACTCACACAAATAAACACTTTTCGACGACGTTATCTTCGAACGAAATTTTTGAATAGATTAAGGTTTAATGATACCATTCTAATTCAGGCAAATTGTCATGTTTGCTTGAGGTAGGTCACTTGAAGTTACGCTAATAGTCCTTTTATGATGAAGAATTAAACCTACCATTGAACCCATCCATACACTTGCAATCATAATCATAAATTAGATCTGTGCACAACCCGGAGTTCTGACAAGGCTCTACTTCACACTCGTTGATATCATACTGAAATAGAATAGATAATTTAGATCAAGGTTACAATGCAAGGAAAGTTATTTCAGAGGTGTACGCATCTTTTGTACTGCAGTGTACTGTCTCTGCGTGGTAATGTAAACACAAGACGGATGTCACAGCCTGACAATGGATCCATTTTTCACATAAAAATCAATGAAATATTCTGGTCAAAGGAAACTATTATAAATATGTGAATTATCAAAATTTTCAAAATTTAATGCTTTTATCCTCCACGGATACAATCAAACACTGATGCATCTATTCTTGATTACAAATTCCACCCTTAGAGAACTGGTTTCAATATGTCCGCAGAGTATACGCAACTGCAAATAACTTTCCTTCCATTATAGCCTAGATTTAATATTGGTTTTTTGTACGAACAATTCAAACACAGTGATAAACAGAAAACCGGAAAAATTAAAAACCAAGTTTTGACTTTAAAAAAAAACAACGAGTATATGAGATCCAGCAATTGTGCAGTGTTAACAGACACATTTTACTAATTAGAAATTTCATAAGTGTCTATAGTAAAACTATTTGCTTTGTAACAACATCAAATACGCAATATTATCGTCTTTGCATTCCATTGTTTACTGATTATCACTGTATTTTACAGAATATTTCTCAGTCTAAATACACAAATTTGTATCAATATTTATATAAGAATTCTACCTAATATTAAAGAATAATTGAATATTGAATTAAAGACTGCGGGGTCTGGGATTATGTATCGCGCGCCCTTTGAGAACAGCTTTTATACAGCTGTATTGGTAGTCGATTATAGTAATACAATGAAGACGACTTTTTATTTAATTTTTTATTGTTAAAAAGCATTTTAACAAATTATAAGTTTACAAGAAATTAAAGAGAAGATTTTTAATTGACAGCTTATCTTTATTTCCAAGTTTGTGTATATATCCATGCTGTTTAAAAGCATGATATAACTCAAAATTTAAATAGAAATTCGTCTTCATTGTATTGATATATACCTGACAAGATTGTCCTGTATATCCAGGGGTGCACGCGCACGAGAAATCATTCACTGAGGAACACAAATCATAAACCTTTGCATCCAAGGGTTTTAATTAGATATAAGATAAAAAAGATTAAAAAAAAAAACAATTATTTTTTTGGTCACAAAGCAGCAAGAACATTTATATATATACTGTGCTTCTCTGTCTGTCCGTTTGTTTCCAATAAACGTCAAACCTAACATGACCCCAGGGAAGGTTTATGGATGCCCAAAATTACAAAATTCCTGTCCAAAAATTTGTTTTTTTTATTTGAAAATTAGCAAATTTTGTTGTTGTTATTGTTTTATATTGTACACAGAGAAGATACCTTAAAGATAGAGGCACAATTAAAAGTTGAAATAGAAAATGGGCGCGAGGCGCCCTTAAAACCTATAGTCTCTATATATTTACAATAACAGCAACTATCATAGTCAATTAACCAAAAGAAATTCTTGACTAACGCCAATTTTTTCCTATAAAAATTCTTTATTCTTAGTATCCATGTTCTAAATCTAATTGAATTTGTTATTCTTAGTATCCATGTTCTAAATCTAATTGAATTCGTTATTCTTAGTATCCATGTTCTAATCTAATTGAATTTGTTATTCTAAGTATCAATGTACTGAATCTAATTGAATTTGTTATTCTTAGTATCATGTTCTAAATCTAATTGAATTTGTTATTCTTAGTATCCATGTTCTAAATCTAATTGAATTCGTTATTTTTAGTATCCATGTTCTAAATCTAATTGAATTTGTTATTCTTAGTATCCATGTTCTAAATCTAATTGAATTTGTTATTCTTAGTATCCATGTACTGAATCTAATTGAATTTGTCCGAAAGTCTGATTGCCTTAAATACATTTTCCAAAGCACAACACAATCCTCCAGAAGGAGAAAAAGAATTGCTATAAAAATACCCTTAAAATAAGAAAAATAAGAAACAAAGTAAATTAGAGCTGACCTCAAAATATTTTGAACATTTATACAGGAAAGATTTTATTTAGTGAGTTTAAATCTTGCCATAGAAATTGAGTCTTTGCCTCAAACTCTGATTTTCTAATCCAAATATCTTTGCAACCCAATGTCGGAGACATTATATTTTAAGCTATAAATTCTGTTGGATTAAATAATCTAAGTTTGAAATATTAAAGGTATACAACATAAGGTTCTAAAATAAAAGGGATTAGAACATTTGAGTTTGTGGCAAATACTTAAATGTTTTCTTAACATCTCCATAAATTTTGAAGGTAAAAATGGTACCCACATTTAGAAAGTCCCAAGACTAAGATTTTACATTGTGAAATCCTGTAGAAAATTCCAATCTAAAGAAATGCATTTTCTTTATTTCTCAGACAAACTAATAAAAATAATTAAGGACTGCACGTGTTTCGCCACTGGGTAACATTTAGATAGTTGACTTGAAAAAGAAATAAGCTAACCACATGGTCCTAGCTCAGTCTTTTTTTCGGTTTGAAATATAAAATAGCAAGGCTATTAGTGCGCTTTGTGCCCATCTTCTATTTCAACTTTTAATTGTTGTTCTATTTTTCAGCATTTTCTCCTCGACAAAACAAGAACAAAATTTTTCGGCTTTATAATTTTTTGTTGTTGATTTTCAAAATTGCACAAAAATCTAAATAATTCTTTGACAACTTTTTTGCAATTCTGAGGATCCATTAACCTTCCTTGGGGTCATGTATGGTCCCAAACAAATTTTTGGCCCGATTGGTTCAGCCGTTTTAGAGAAGCAATGTACGTAAAGAAGAAACATAAGGTATTCCAAGCCAAGAATTTTATACAAAAAAAATCTAAAAATTTCTCTTGAAAACTGTGATCAAAATGATTTAGTGTGCCTAGATCTAGACAAGTAGCATTATTAAAGCAAGGACTGGATCCACAATCATCTATATTCACTTCACAGTTCTTTCCTAGTAATAAAAGAAATGTATAAAGTGGATAAAATAAAGAACTCAGAGTAGTTGAAACACTTTATAGAACTTACTTAATGCAGATCGATTAAAATAAAGCTGTTATGCAATCTTGCAGATTGTAAAATATGGGTTATTTCTTGAGAATTAGGCGTGATAATTATATAATGTAAAATTTTTTAGTAAATGATTTAAAATTTAATGTTTGTACTTTTATTGGCGACTTCTAAACCCAAAGCTTAAGACAGGGTATCGTAAAAAAAACCAGGCTTGCACGATTGGGGTATTTTGTAGATATCAGTTTTTGGTAAGACAAATTATTTTCATGGTCAATTTTATATTATATTATCTTTTTATTCTTTATTTCTGAAAGGTAAATCTACACAAATGTGCATACCCCAAAAAGGAAACTCGGGAGTTTCGTTAAACGATACCAATTTCCGGCTCTTGGATCTCCGGAACGGGGGGGGACCAAAGTTCAAGGCAGCTACAAGAAATTTTCATTCGTTTTCAAGGTTTGGATATTGAACAATGTAAAAATAACTACAACGAGTTTGATTCTAGCTTAAAAGGAGTAATTGGTATGCATGCTATTTTAGATTACATGTGGCCCTCTTATACCTGTATATCCGTCCTGACATGAGCACTGGTATCCATTGATTAGATCGGAGCATTTCGCATCATTTTTACATGGTTCGGGGATGCAGTCGTTTATATTTGTCTCACAGTCCTTTCCGGTAAACCCAACTTGACATCTGAAAATGAACAATTGGTAATTACTTATAAAACGTGCCAGGGACCCCCCCGCCCCTCCTTCTTTAAAAAGAGCAACCATCTCAGAAGAACTTCAAAATGGCGGAGATAAACATTTAGCGCATGCGCATTTCAGAAGGGGTGCACTAATTTGTAAAAATATATCTCATTAACTTGGGAAAATTAGGAATTAGGAGAAGACTTAAAAAGGTTTTATTCAGACTATACATGAATATCCGTATCCTAACCCATTTTTTAGATTTTTCATTCAATAAATGGACTATTTAATTTAAATCGAGACACATTTTTTTATAATTCGATTATATGTTTGAATGATTATAACTGCGTAAGTAAAAGACGACTAAATAATCATCACTTATTCTAATTCTAAACCTCCCCCCCCCCTCTTATATAATGCCTTCAAGTTCCAAATACCAAGAAGTTGATAAGGGTCTCTTAAGATTTATGTTAGAATTATGCCAGAATGCATTTAAACTTGAGAACGTTTAATCTTTACAATTTGGTTGTAACACAAACAAAATACAAAATATAGACTTCGAACTCAAAATAAGGGGGGGGGGGATTCCAGGGGAAATGATATTTAAAAATGCAGGACCTTTCTTTTCGTTCAAAGCAAAGGAGAACTGATCTCGCCTTAGACTTTAATTTTCTAATTCAAATTCATAATATCTTTAAAACCTGATGGGAAAACTTTTAATATGTCAACCTTTGACTATAGGATCTAGGAGAAATCATAGCTTGAAATATTAAAGATCTACACCTTCAGGTATGAAAGATGTAAAAAAAATATATTTTCGCCTAAATGTGGTTGTAATTGGGTTTCTTGTGTTTCCAAATTTTAAAGCGACTCTAAGCGTAATTTCAAGTGACCTTCCATCTAAAGAGGGCCATGCCCGATTCACAACGTCACCCTTAAAAATTGTGTGCGATCTCCAAGTACAGAGATAAGTGTGTGTAAACTTATCAAAACCCGTTTGTATTCAGGTGCAAAGTGCTCCCGTACAGCCTGATCTCAATACACAGCTGAATTTGCAGCTGGATACAAGTGGGTTTCGATAAGTTTACACACACATATCTCTGTACTCAACGAACACACACAAAGGTTTTCAGGGAACCATTATAAGTAGAGCATTGCTACCTTTGCATGAAGAGTCCTTTAGAATTACGCTTGCAGTCCCTTTAAAATAAATCCTTGACACTTACGTGCATTTATAATCAGCAATGAGATCCGAACATATTCCTCCGTTCCTGCAGCGGTTCCAACTACATTCATCTATATTTATCTCACAAGTTAATCCTTGGAACCCGGCAATACAGGAACAATGGAACGAATTTATCATATCTATACAGGTTCCATTGTTGATACAAGGCTGGGAACTACATTCATCAATATTTACTTCACAGGTGGCCCCGGAGAAACCTAGTCTCGTGGAGTAGTTATAGGAGGAGGGGGAGTTTACCCATTCTGCCAAATTTAGTTTGAAGACGACCCCTTCTTTAGAAAAATAATTTGAAAGTCGTCTTGTTTCTAACTTATAGCGTTTAATGAATCAGACTACTTATGAGGATATTTTTGAAGGAGGGGGGGGGGCGTTTGATGCTCCCCCCTCTAGTTTTTTTGCCGTGGCACTTTTTTAAGTAGAGTATGGGACAGAAAGGTAAAAAGGCGGATCGGTGTTTTAAAAATCTAAAAAGTTCTTAAAAAATAAATGTATTAAACATGTAAAGAATGTTGTTATTTTTCAAAAACAATAACATATATTTTTTACTTTTTCCAACCTTTTTTTTAACACTTTCTTAAAACCTCCCTGGCTTTCGAAGTTTGCAGTGCAATACCTTAATTTTAAAGCCTTTTTCTAGGAGGGGGCGTGGAACGCCTCCCCCCTCCCTTAATTGTCCATACATAGATCCCCACCTATTTATAAAGTTGATGGGTTAAGGGTAAATTCCCTCTCAATATATAACTACTCCTTCCCTGGTTTACATTCACATTCAAACTCGTCTATTCCATCCTTACATAGTCCGTCATTTTGACAAGGAGAGCTTAAACAGTCGTTTATATTATATCCACAGGTTTTACCCATAAACCCGGGGCCACACACACACTCAAAGTCACTGTTTAAATGGCGAATAAATTATGATTGTAAATTACTAATTTAGATTTTTGGAAATTTTTAAATTTTCATTCAACCCTGCACTCTGTCCCGGCTTGAAAGTACGATTTTTTAATATCTGCCAGAAATAGGGAGCAATGTACAGGGTGTCCCAAAAAACATGGGAATTCAGTGACGAATTCGATATCGTCTTTTTAAATAATTCTTTGATTTAGTATAGTGATACCAACTGAGAAAGCTTTAATCTGTAAGAGTTTCGTCTGCTATGTTTACATTTTGTTTGTTTATGTTTTGACTGCATACGGTTGTACTTAGTAAAACAAGAAAATTGCAGTATACAAACAGCGTAAACTTGTCAGTCTTCACTGTTCATCTTGCAGAGACGTTATAGACACATCTTTACAGTCTTTTACCCTTTTCATAAAATAAACTCTAGCAGACATAATAATATTATGGCTTTTGAAATTAGGCATTACAATGCTAATTCATAGCAAAGACGATATACTATTCGTCACTGAATTCCCATGTTTTTTGGGACACCCTGTATGAAGAAGGTAATTTTTAGAAAATATTTATAACTTGATGCTTTTAATAAATTCTTAAAATTTTATTTTTTGAATGAGTTTTCCGATTTTTTTTTAACTTTGTCTTTTTATTTTTAGACTTAAATTAAATTTAAATTAAGAAGAAAAATGCATTCATTTTGGGAAATTCGGGAAAGTAAATAGGGGTCAGTAGATTAACTAGATTTGAATGCGTTAAACCTCAAAAAGATAAAGAAAAGGTATTTTGAAATTCCTGATAATCTTTTCATTAATAATTATTGAACTTGTAGCTTGCAGCAATAAAAAAAAAATATGTAATGCAACCCAATATCTAGATATTAACATTTCAGATCAAAGAAACCCCAAATAGTTTGCTGCGAAAAACATGTTGCTCCTTCTCAGAAATAAATTTTTTAAAATTTTTTATCTTAAATGTTTGCGCCATTTTCCTTGTTCCATCAAAACAGGTTCCGCCATTTTCACAGGGTTTGGTCTCGCACTCGTTTATATTTATTTCACAGTAGCGACCAGTAAATCCGGGAGAACAGACACACTCAAAGTCATTCTCCAAATCCTAAAACATTATAACATTATGAAAATATCAAATGGTAAATCCCGAAACTGATACTGGTACAGGGTTGCCCACAAACGATGAGACTGTAAAGACGACCCAAAACTATTAAAATATGACAATTTGAAGCTTGATTTTTAATTTCTGCAGTCAATTGAGTATTTTGATGGTTTACTAAATGATTAAGCACTGGCTACAAAGGAACCCTGAATACAGGAAAACGGACTGAACAAAGTTCGTACAATTGTCTCTGAAGTCTCTTCTCTTCTGAGTAACCTTGTAACTAAAAATCTATGTAATAAAACAAGACATTTTTATATATATATGTTGCCTATAGCCGGCCAAACGGCTGAACCGAATGGGCTGAAAATTTTGTGGACACTCAGGGGTGGCCGGGGATGTTCTAGGCTAAAAAAGTCGATTTTTTTAAAAATATTTTTTTGTAAAAAAATTGTCCACGGGCAACGCCGGACCCTTCAGCTAGTATTTACAAAGTTGCTAGTATTTTAAGAGTTTATTGTCGTCTTTACAGTCTCATCATTTGTGGGTAGCCAGTAGTTCTAGTTGTACTTTTTTGTATTTGTTTGCTGTGCTGCAGAACCAGTCTTGATCTATTTTATTAGTAGTAATCCTTGTCGTTGTCTTGTCATCTGATGTCGTTTAAAGTTTGAAATAAGGTTGTCATTCATGTTACAAAGATATAGAATACTAGAGTAATTAAGAAATCAGGAGACAAAGTTAAATTGCGTAGAAATGGTTCAACCTTGTCTATTCTTAGTGGTTAAAGATAGTCTTTGCGGTTCAACTATGTCTTACTATTAAATAAATCTGATCCAACTTAATTTCTTTCATTTTTTATACTATATAAGACCCATGAACCTTGTCTACTTGTACCTGACATCGTGCTAGATTTTTGCAAGGGTTTGACTGGCAATCATCAATATTGATCTGGCAATTAGTTCCGTTAAATCCTGGTTGACAAAAGCAATTATATCCGTTCAACAGATCTTGGCAAGTACCTTTAAAAAGTAAATGTAAAAATTAAAGACAAACTTCGAATATTTATGTCGGCTCGACCCGATTTTTTTCGACAAGAGATCAATTCTGTCAATTTCAATCTTTATCCAAGGAAGATATTGTGGTTTTTTCTAGCTTAAAGATAGATCAATTCTGTCAATTTTCTGTTTTATCTCTACAGTGTAAATTCGAGAAGAAAAAACAAGGCATGATTTTAAAGGTTAACCAACTAATTAACTAAATCGGGCGAACAACTCTTTAAAGGGAGGTTTATTAAAAATAATGATGACAGCCTCTTTAAAGGAATTGAGTCGTTGCCACAAACTCTGATTTATAATCCCATTTATCTTTGCAATCCAATTTTATAGGCCTGAGATAGTTCAAACTATAAATTCTGTTAGACCAAAGAATACTTAGATCTAGCTAGAAACTAAAATCAAACCGACTCCACTTCAAGAATTTTCAAACCAGACTTAGAACATTCCCATGGTTTTATTGAGTTGACCAATCAAAATTTTGAGGCAATTTGGTCAATGACCTTGAGATCAAATATACAAACAAACATAGATTACTACTTAATAAACAGTTAACCTACCTTGGTTCTGACAAGGGTTAATCTGACATTCGTCTATTTGCAGTTCACAAAACCGTCCTGCAAACCCAGGAGGACACGAACACGAGTAATCATTCACGCCATCAACACAGAGACCTCCACTTTCACATTTATGCTGCAAAAAAAAGTTAACATATTTAAAGACTTTCTAGACGCTTCGCGCCCATCTTCTATTTAACCTTTTATTATTGCTCTATCTGTAAAAAATTTTCTCTTTGTACACAATAATACATTAACAAACAAAAAGTTTGCGGATATAATAATACTTTTTCGTGGAATTTTTAAATTTTAATAAAATAGAAATTTGTTTATAGAGAATATTTCAAATTCTGGTCATCCATAAACCTTCCCTGGGGTCATGAAAGGTCCCACAAAAAATTGGGACCTATTGGTTTAGCCAGAATATTAATGATTAGATAATTTCTGGTTGTTTTGACATATTATAACAATAAGACTGTAGCTTATAAACATGTTCTTGGTTAAATTTTGAAAGAGAAGTTTTTTGGACATTCCCATAACCACCAATATGGAATTTTGCTGTGGAAATGCTGTTCCTACACTCTACACTTGAAATGCAGTATGCTTGTGTTTTATTTTGCAGACTAGGCATGTCTTGGTTTTACATTTTGCTTTCGCGTTATTGCAGTTATCAGGAATGCTGATTCATTACAGCTGATCAAACTGCTTTTAAATCAAATGAATCAGATAGGAAGGGTAGGGGCCCGGGTGGATGAAGGTTTCTGCAATTGTATTCTAAGCTATATCTCAAATCTAGGCCTGTCAGTATGCATTTTTTTGTACTTTATATCTTCTTTATTTCTTGGATAGTCCTTAACTAATTCTTTTGACGATGAGGTATGGATAATTTGGATAAAGAGGGTGTTGAGGAATTTTTTATTGCTGAAAAAAAGCCTACTTATTCCTCAATGTATAGTCTTTCCGACTTGTGTGGAATTGATGAATTCATATAGTTTTGCACCACATTATGCATATGAGACGTAGATCAACTGTATTTAAGAATTAAGTTATTTTGAAAAATTTAAAAAAAGGGAATACTCCATTTAATCCAGACTCCAGTTAAGGCTTCCATTTTATAAAGGGAATTCGTAACAAAATTCTTAATATCAATATTAAAGGTACAAAAAGTAATGTCATTGAATAATATATTTAAACAAACTTATGGTATTTATAATTTCGTTGATATTGCTGTATTACTTTATTTAAAATTCGAACTTATTTAGCTTATTCAATTAAACTTCAGAAAGAAGAAAAATGCTTTTGCATCTTAGGTTGTGCAAAATGAATTCTCAGAGTTTATCCCTCGGTAATCAATTTCTTGGAAATATTGCATCTGCCGCTACAGTTTTTTTTTCTTTTTCATTTTAATTTTTTTCATTTTTGTATCAAAATATAGTACGTGTGCTTTCGGTTGACATATACCACAATCAAAAAATATTTTGTATAAAAAAAATAAGGTCAATTTACTCTTTTGACTTTTTGAGGTTATTTTCCATGTTTTTAAACTAGCTTTTTTGTCTTCTTATTGTAATGCATTTAAAGAATAATCTGTTTTTTTATTAAATGATTTTACCTCAAAGCAATCGTCTATGTTGGTTTCACAAACAGATCCCTAAAAATAAATTTTTGTTTAAATTAATCTGATAAACTTGATTTTTGGAGAAATCCTTTTTAAATGGATTTTTAAAACCTATTTTCGCAAAAATATCTAAAATCCGAATTAAAGTCAGATATTATATGTTTTCATGATTAATTTCAAAGTTGTTAATCTATAAATTGTACCTGGAATCCTTGTCTACAGGAGCAGAGATACTGATCTATAAGATCTATACAGGTTCCTTGGTTTAGGCAGGGTTGGGAGGCACAATCATCAATATTAGTTATACATGTATCCCCAGTATATCCTGGTATACAGCTACATGTAAACGTTCCTGAATATATAATATTAGTTATACATGTACGGACACCCTAATAGACAAGCAATTAGTATATTTGTGTATTCCTAGTATGTCCAAGTATTGTAATATTTATAATTTAATATCAATCCATTTAGTAACCTATCTGTCCATATCTCTCAGAGTATAAATACATCTGTAACGTTTATTAATGTTTAATAAGATCCTTCAGATATTAAACTGCTATAGTTCAGAATCTGTCCGAGTAGCTTCTCCCAATACTCATTGTTATCCTCGTTGTTATCATCATTGTCATCATCATTGTTATCATCGTTGTGATCATCATTGTTGTCATCATGGCTATCATTGTTTTTGCCATCATTGTTCTGTGAAGAGCTGTTCCATAATGAGTGGCGTCTCCCTTCTCAGAATCCTGGATATCATATTTCCTCTCTGTATCCAGGTTATTCCAGTAGGTAGTTCAGACTGGTTGGTACGAGAACAATTGGTCCACGTTCTAGAAGCTACAGGAGATGAATCTCTTGACGAGGTCTATATTGATATTCTAGCTGCTCCTAGAGTCTCTGCTATGTTCGACTGGATATTCTAGCTGCTCCAGATACATGAAGAGCTATCTGTAAAGACCAACGGTCTCCTGTCTCAGGTTTAGGCAGCATCTGATATCTTGAATATCTTAGAAGTCCTAGTTGCTCTGCACCTCGAGTGTCCCTATTACATGAACAATCTCGAGGATCTGAAGCTTCATCTGGTACATCTTAATCCTTAGTTGAATTAGCCGGAACTGTTACAATCTGTGGGTAGACCCGACTGGCCGGTACAAGTATAATTGGTTCAGTTCCAGAAACCACAAGAGGTGAATCTCTTGATGATACTGATGAGTCTGAAGACACGTATTTATGTATAATGATGGGATAAGATTCCTTTATCTGTTAGCTGTCTGTTGACTGTCTGTTAGTTGTCTATGAAGTACAAGTCCCCAGGCCTTAAGTTGATAGACGGGAGCTAAGGCTCTAACGTCTATCCTGTATAAGATCCTGGAGTGTACTTGCCTAATCTCCAGGTCCCAGATATTGTGATACAAAGAGAATAGGAGTATTCGCAAGAGTAGCGATGTCTTAATCATTAGAGTATGCACATTTCCAAATATATACAGAGATCAAAACTGTTGGGTATGAATGCTTATGCTGCAAATGATTTTAATTTTAGAATTAACGATAATAATTTTTTGAATGATTAAATAAAAGAAATATTAAATTGTTTGAATTAAATTAAATTATCTAGTACAGATTAATATCTAATCTTGTACATATCAAAATCTAACATTGTGGAGTCTAAAATCTTTTACAGAATACTATCTAATCTTATGCAGATTAATCTCTTATCTTGTACAGACTAATCTTTAATCTTGTACAAATTAATCTCGAATTTAGTACAGATTAATCTCTAATCTAGTATTGATTAATCTCTAGTCGTGTACTATTAATCTCTAATTTTGTACAGAATAATCTCTTATATTGTACAGATTAATCTTTAATCTACTACAGATTAACCTCTAATCTTGCACAGATTAAAATCTACCTTTGTACATTGTAAAGGTTAACCTATAACCTGGTACAGATTAAAATCGAACCTTAATCTCTAATATTGTGCAGATCAATCTCTAATCTAGCATAGAGTAATCTCTAATCTTGTACAGATTAATCTCTTATCTTGTACAGATTAATCTCTAATCTTTTATAAATTAAGATCTAAACTTGAATAGATTAATCTTTAATCTTGTACAGATTAATCTCTAATCTTGTACAGATTAATCTTTAATCTTGTGTAAATTAATCTCTAACCTCGTACAGATTGATCTTTTATCTTGTTTATATTAATCTCTAAACTTGTACAGATTAAACTCTAATCTTGTATAGATTAATCTCTAATCTTGTACAGATTAATCTCTTATCTTGTACAGGATAATCTCTATTTTTATATAAATTAATCTCTTATCTTGTACAGATTAATCTCTAATCTTGTACCGATTTATCTCTAATCTTGTACAAATTAATCTTTAATCTTGTACAGATTAATCTCCTATCTAGTACAGATTTATCTCCAATGTAATGTAGATTAATCTCCAATCTTGTACATATTAATCTCTTATCTTGTACAGATTTATCTCTAATGCAGTGCAGATTAATCTCTTATCTTGTACAAATTTATCTCTAAAGTAGTGCAGATTAATCTCCAATCTTGTACATATTAATCTCTTATCTTGTACAGATTTATCTCTAATGCAGTGCAGATTAATCTCTTATCCTGTACATCTTGTACAGATTAATCTCTAATCTAGTGCATATTAATCTCTAATCTTGTACAGATTAAAATCTAACCTTGTGGAGTTAATCTAAAATCTTTTACAGATTACTATCTAATCTTGTGCAGATTAATCTCTTATCTTGTACAAATTAATCTCTAATCTAGTGCAGATTAATCTCTAATCTTATACAGATTAATTTCTAATCTTGTACAGATTAATCTCTAATCTGTTACAAATTAATCTCTAATCTTGTACAGATTAATCTATAATATTGTACAAATTAATCTCTAATCTTGTACAGACTAATCTATAATCTTGTACAAATAAATCTCTAATCTTGTACAGACCAATTTTTAAACTTGTACAGATTAATCTCTAATCTTGTACAGATTAATCTCTAATCTTGTACAAATTAATCTCTAAAATCTTGTACAGATTAATCTCTAATCTTGTACAGATTAATCTCTAATCTTGTATCTCTAATCTTGTACAGATTAATCTCTAATCTTGTACAGATTAATCTCTAATCTTGTGCAGATTTATCTCTAATCTTGTACAGGCTAATTTCTAATCTTGTACTAATTAATCTCGAATCTTGTACAGATTAATCTCTATTCGTGTAAAGATTAATCTCCATTGAATTAATACAAACAATAAATAATTAACAGTTCTCTACTGAGGAAAGTTTGAGTTCTGTTTAAAGTTTAAACATCTCTAGATGTGAATTGTTTCTGACAATTCAAGTCAAACTTCCAACTTTACATATCTACTCGGTTTAAGATGAACATTTCCAGATGTTTATTATTTTTACAATGCATAATCCTTAAATCATTGCAACCTGACGTCGTAGATCTTTCAGGATTCAAATAATGAATCGTAGGAATTAGAAAACAAGAGTTTAATGCAAGTGTTCTAAAGAAAATGTATTCGTGTTTTCACTTTTATAGGAGTTAAGTATAAACTTACTCTGTTTAGACTATAAGAATACAAAATCCGAAGTTGTAAATTGAAAGCTAAAAGTAGCAAGTCATAGATTTGTATAAAACGTGTTGAACTTTTAACCGAACCTAATTGAAGTGGGAACAGTTTAATCAAAACTGAGATGGAACATATTTAAATCCTTCCAATAGAGTTTGCGTAATCTTCTTTTCATTTATTAGTCAAGGGTTCGGAGTTGTTTCTAATACGAAAATGTTTAAGTATAAAGATAATGTTCCAACCTGGTAGTTTGTTACATGTTCCACCATGCTTACAGGGATACGAAGCACATTCATCAATCTCCTCTTCACATAGTTCCCCTGTATACCCGGCCTAGTAAATTCACAAAATATTTATATTTTTTTACTTTCCTCATCACTTACATAAGTGATTTTAATCACAATTATTATTATATTCTCAATATCTTTGTTGCTTTCATTATTATTATCACAATCATGCTATAGTAAGAACCAGACAACTCTGGAATATGAAGACGACATTTATAATGTCGTCTTGCTATTCTACAGTTTTCTGGTTCTTACTTTATATACAGTAAAACCATTAATAACGAATACATCGAAAGAATTCATCAAATGCCGTATTCTTCACTTTCAGATAATGGAATGTTGCAGATATTTAGTTTTTTTAATTAAATGATTAAATGGAACTCTTTTTAATTGTTCCCGCATATTCATAGCTATTTATTTAATTTCGCAAATACTGAAATTTACGTAATATAGTATAAAACTCATTGAAAAATTGTCAAGACGACATTTGATAAATTCTGCCGATGTATTCGTTATTAAGGGTTTCACTGTATATAATTTTCGTTAAATGACTTTTTTGTCATATAAGATATTTACTAAAAATGACCTGACAATCACAAGAATAATCGTTCACTTCGTCAATACAAGTTGAGTATGGACTACAAGCATTCTCTGTACAATCGTCAATATTTATCTCACAGAAGCGTCCCTAAACAAATATACGCTTTGCGTTTTCCTGTTCAACGTTACGCAATTTAGGTGTACAGGAATTAAGTCTTTGTCACAAGCTCAAATCTTATAATCCCAATATTTTAACAACTAGATGGTGTGAACCTTTAATATTTCAAACTTTGATAATTTGATCTACCAGAGTTGATAGTTTGAAATATCTAAGGTTTACGCCATTGGGTTACAAAGGTATAGGGATTATAAAATCTGAGTTTGTGCCTAAGACTCANGGTATTTTATGGGGGCCAATCTTCCTTTTAAAATACATATACCCAGATTTTAATGTACTCTAAAATCTTTTCATTTTCAAATATTGTATTAATTGTAGCTTGTATTAACATAAAATGATTTCAATTTATGATAACTTTTACCGCTCATATAATTAAATGGATCCTTTAAATCTACGATATTTAAGAGGTCATGATGTACATACAGGGTGTCCCACGAAACATGACAGTTGGTGAATAATTTAAAATGTCTTCTTCCATAATAAGTTGTTTAATACCAAAGAGAATTATAAGAATATTTAATGGTATAGTCATAATATAGAAAAATTTATTTTAAAGTAAATGATATTTTAGTAAAAGATGCCATGCTTCGTGGGACACCCCGCAGGTTACAAAAGATTGCAAAAAAAAAACTCTACTTTACAGTTTTTTTACTCAAAATTACAACGGATTTAGGATAACCTAGATATATAAACAGATTCTAAAGACCATTAAGCAAAGATGTGAGGGGGGGGGCGCCGCAAGCGCGCCCCAAGTATTTATTTATTCTAAAATTCGTTTATAAAATACCCATTTTATGAGTTTTCATGGAAATTACCAGTTTCCGACGGATTTTAAAACTTAAAATTGCTTCAGCGTCCGAGCCTTATTTGAATTAAAAAAGAGGTTTAAAATGAAACTATGGTGGAATTTAAACCAATGTGTTTAAATCTAAGGAGGGAGTAAACCAATGTGGGTAGATATACGATGGGAGAAATATTACCACCACTTCTATTTTTGGAGGTTTTAAAATATTTTCTCCGGAAACGCTTAATTTTGTGTGTTTTTGCTATATTTATTAAGTAAAACTAACTTATAAGAGAAGTAAAAACTCAAATCCTCCCCATGTTTAAATGCAGTTTACTCCAGTGGAAAAGAAAACCCTCCGGTAGAATTTATATTTTGTTAAAACTTTAAAGCTCTCCAGTAATAATAATTTTCTCTCCACTGGATTTAGAACCCTCAGGTACTCTCCAGTCGTCTTCAATTATTAATGAAAACTTANCCCCCCCCCATGAGATTGCATTAAGAAAAATATTGTTTTCATCTAAAACTTGCTAGCTTTCTTTGTTCACCCTATATCCACCTGTATTCCCCCATGTTGAGTTTATCTAAGATTAGTTTTCTGCATAAAAAAGTTAAAACTTCGAATTATCTTGTCAGAAAATGTTTGGATTGCATCATTGTAAAATATGCAATATAAATTAGGTAGAGCTAAACTGGAACAAACTGGATTTGACTGTAGGCAAAATAGATTATAATTCCCTCTTTTTTTGCTGGATTCATGCACCCACGAGAGAGTGCAATAGTCATAGAGAAATAAACCGGCAATAGTAATCCTAGGAGGTAATTGGATTTTTAAAATTAGATTTGACCCCCCCCCCTTCTATTTGCATTAAAAAATTGTTCTTGGGTCTTTTCCCCTTATTTTTTCTTTCTATTTTTTACTAACGTTTTTAACAAACTAATAAAATGTCAAGAACATCTAACTCTTTTCAGTAAAGAAAAACGACGATATCTTTCTCATACGGTGGTAGATGATTATATCAATATTATAAAAAAGACTTTCGATTTCAATATTTATTTATATCAAGCTTTTGAACAGCATGGATACAAAAAAAAACAAGGAAACAAAGAGAAGCTGTCAATTCATAAAATTCTCTTTAATTACTTGTAAACTTCGAAAAAAACTTGTTAAAAATAAAAGCTTAAATAAAAAGACGTCTTCATTATATTGATATATTCGCCTACCACCGTAGCTACATTGATAAAGGATATAGAAGTAAATCGGGCATTATAACTATAGTATTTTAGGGTCTTTTAAAACCTCTCGGATTAGGACAAAACTTCGAATTCCAAAAAAAATTTGAAAATCTGATCTAAACTTACCTCAAAACCATCATCACATTTACAAAAGAAATTTGCTAATTCTTCTACGCATTCTCCATTATTGCAGTTCTAAACACATATAGCAAAATACATCAAACCAAAAGATCCTTCTTAAAGGAAGTGTTCGCGAAAAATGAAAGATAGCCTTAATGCGATAAAAAAGCGCTTTTGATCGCTACAAATCTTACTTCTATCTGTTGCGTCTATAAGGAGAAAATTGTTAAAGACGTCTCATACCGAATAACATGGCGTCCATACCAATTGAGAAAATTGCAACATACGACTTAGACTGTAAAAAAAATCCATTTAATTTCAAACAAATCATTCAGATATTACAACCTATAGTCATCGATTATCTTTCGCCATATTTGTATATATTTGATATTTCATACTAGTTTTGATTTTGTTTTTTAAAAAAATATTGAGCTTACAACTTGTTTTCGAACATTCCTGGAAAATATGAAAATGTCGTCTTCATTACCAAAAATCCTCGAAACAAGAA